GTCTTAATTATTGTGGAGCTGTTCAATGACAACTACCTCGTTGGAGTACCATACGCAGGTATGAGTACTGCAGAATAAATGCATCCAGAAAGACACAAATGCTAATAAACCAACAGCATCAGAAACGGTAAGCTCTGAATAGGTCTCAGGTTACACATTGACTAAGTGACACATTTATGTTGTTTATGTAAATAAAATGATAACAAGGAAAAAGGAGCACTCCTCACAAATGAGAAGCTGAAACCATGAAATGTTTGGCATCTTTGCATGGAATATGACAAATGATTATCAGAATAGGTGCCAATAAGTTGTCTGTTAATCAACTAACTGATTAATTCACTAATTGTTTCAGGTCTTGTAATATAATCGAAACATAATTGAAATCTTAATTTGTAGTAAAGTAGCTATATCTGTCAAATACGTAATGATGCAGTAAAAAGTACTAATATATACTCTATTACAAAAACCTCAAATATGTAGTTAGGTACAGAACTTCAAGAGTTAGCTTTGTAATCTTTATCCATAAATGTAAACAATGATATTGTTCTCTTTATGTCACTTCACTTTTTCGTAAAACACAAGATGCGATGATGATACTAATCTTGTGTAAGGAAACCAAAGGAGCAGTGGTAAACTGCATCACATGGTTTAAAAGTGGAAATATGTGATTGTTGGTTCCAAATGGTTTCATGTCCTCAACACAGAAATAAGCTTTATTCTTATGTAGATCCAACAATATAAAATGAATAAACAAATCATTACAAAAGCAATCAATAAATACAGACAAAATGTGAAATTAACAAAATAAATTTTAAAATACAGCTCAAGTATATGAAATATTTTTTCAACCTGCCTCTCTCTTACAGTTTTTTTTTTCATTCCAGCAGTTTCATAATGTCTTTATTTATCTGCAGCCTGTAATCTAGACATTGTTTGAGAGAAAACAAAACTGTATCATCTGCATACAAATTGGATGATATGACTGTGTCTCAGGTTTTGTCTTGTGAAAGACCAGGAAACTGTGATTTTCAATTTATGTCATTTTCATAAGAACCTTTTGTTGATGGCGCACAGTCCAGGATACATTTCCATCCTTATCACTGTAATTTATTGACTATATTATAAGGAGGTTTTGGTGGACAATGCGTGAGAGTGTGTTATGATCATTATCTAAGTAATTGAGACTTCAGCACTAAGGTTGGGCCGTACACGACTGAACAGAAATGCGCCCTGCCTAGTACACTCTCTGTTGATCATCTTCACATCTTGCCCCCCTTGGAGATTCAAGTTGCCCTTTTATGACGGGTAGGCTTAGGGAGGCTATCAGTTGTGTGTGCTGTTATCAGCCTAGTGGGATGTTACTCATTAACTCACCTGCTGGGACCGAAATTCCCCAGGGTCAGATCTGTAAAAACAATAATCTACTTTGGTGAGAAAGAGGTGATTGAGTGGGTAACCGCAAACAGAAAACTAGACATCTGGGTGGTTGGAAGTCCACAAACAATTAATCTAATACCCACACAGAGGAGCAAAAAACCTAATAACCAACCAAAGCTGATTTCATCTTCAGGCTCATCCAAAGCGCTGTTTAAAAACACTTTAAGATCAATGATTCATCAAAGTCAATGTAATTCAGATCGGCTTCAGTGAGTTTCAGTCACGATGGCCAATGTTCATTGAGTATCCACTGGTCTGAACACATGGTTGAGAGATATTAATGTGTAATCACTATGAATGAAGGGAAAGCGTCTGGGAACACGGTGTGTTAGTTAAGTTACACCCTTTATAAATGTCACAGTTATTCAAAAGTTACTGTATAATCCCGTAGAACAGGAGTTTATTGTCTGTCACTTTATATTGCTGCAGGCAGTGACAGACAGCACAATTAGATCCCCCCCTCAATTTTAATATTTCCATCTAGCTTTGATTATTTTCATTCCATCTTCCATCAAGAGAAAGATAGGAAACTTGTCGAGATCTTATATGTTGATACAATCACATTGATTCATTTGATAGTTTTCTGGATTCTGCACCAGCTGCAGACATTATAAAAGCAAGACTCTATGGATGGCAATGTCGGTCTGTTGGTAGGTCAGTGATGGATGGACGCAACATTTTGCAAAGGCACTCATGGTTCCCAGAGGATGAATCTTGGTGACTTTGGTGACCCTCTGACGTTTTCTCTAGCGCCACCATGAGGTTGTCTTTTCTATTTTAAAGTAAAAATGTTTTTAGAGCATTTAAGCATATTTCATTTGTTTCTAACACATTTATATAGCTGTTAAATCCAACAGGACAACCGTTATATGTAGAAAAAAAATCCACCATGTGGCCAGACCGGCCACTATGCTATGCCATTCTCCATTCCTACTCTGCCCTCTGCCATAACCAGACACCCAGCCCTTTTCCCTGCCACGGCTTTGGGGTAACACAATATATGTTTCAGGCACCTCGCTCGTTTCTGCAAGAGGGATCTTGAATTTGCCCAAATGATGTCACGCTCCCGGTGGCTATGTTATGTTTACTCCCCAACCCATCCTGTTCTTCCTGAGCTCCTCACTCCAGCCTCCCAAACCAAACCTCAGCCCCAGGTTCCCAGCTATCAGCCAGCTAGCTTTCAGTCTGGTAGCTTCTAACCAGCTAATCTCCAGTCTGCATCCCTGTCAGCTGGTGTAAGGCTCACTAGCCTCCAGTCTGATTTTGGGTTCATGAGCATGCAGCCTTCCTGTCCTGAGCTGGCTCCTAACCACAATGACAGTCTCTGCTGCCCAGCGCCCCAACCTGGTCCCCAGTCAGCAGCACGACCGACACCTGTTCCTGCTGAGCTTCATATGGCTCCTTGTTCCTGAGCTGCAACAGTCCTCATTTCCAGAGCAGCAGCAGTGCTCAGTTCCTGTGTTGCTGCAGTCTCCTGTTTCCCTGGCTCCACCGGCTCATCTGCTAGGCTCTCAGTTATCACTGGTTTCCAGTCCTGGAACCCTGTTGCCGGCCTACTGCTCTGCACTCCAGCCGCTAGTCTCCGATTCTGCCTTATTCGCTGGTCTCCAAAGGGATCCCTCCTATGCTACCGGCCTTCAGGTCATCTTCCTGCCTGTCCTCCAGAGCTGCTCTGCCTACGTAACCAATACATAGACCGTCGTCCAGAAGTGCCACGTCCTTCGGCCCTGCCTCCTGGTCGCCCTCCAGCTCCTCTTCTGTCCTGGCCCCAGTCCGCCTGCCTGTGCTTACCTGCTTGGCCTCTGTCCTGCCCAAAGGCCGTCCACCTAAGGTCCCCTGCTCTATCCCTGTCCAGACCCCAGGTCATCCACCTGAAATCACATGCTCCATTCTTCAGCTCCCAGACAACTTGTCAATGAGCTGTAAGCTGTAAAAATGGGCTTTGCAAACAGCTTGGCAATATAATTATACATTTATGACTGGGCAGGATCCCGTTTTCAGAGGAGCTCAGATGGAGGTGAAGTATAAGCGGGAGGCCAATGAGTTTAGATTCACCTGTCGTTTCTGCATTTGTTATAATAATCAGGTGATAAGAGGAATGTAGCCCCTCAGAATAATACCATATTTTTTTACTTATATTTAAAGTATTTAGGGTTTTCAACATCATTAGGGTTCATCCTCTGGAGAACATGAATGTTTGTTTCATAGTTTCACTGCCATCCATCCAACAGTTGACGAAGATATTTCCCTCTAGAATTATTTACCCTATAAAATGTAATTGCAGTCACCTTTTTCAAAATGTTCAAAATAGGTTTTGATTAAAGATTACATTTTTACAACCATTTCTGTGTCACTGCAGTTGGTTTACAGTTAACAATTGTTTCTTTGCAAACACTTCATGTCTCACTTCCTTCTGGAAAACCGACGAACAGCTTGGATCTGGTTTATTGTTGGTGTCTCTCTTTCTGGAACCCCGTTCTTGATCTTTATACAAACTGGTCTGCTGGTTTTACAGATCTCCTCACCTCTGAACCTGGGGCGGCTGTGGCTCAGGAGGTAGAGCGGCCGTTAATCGGAAGGTCGGCAGTTCAATCCCTGGCTCCCCCTAGTTGCGTGTCAAAGTGTCCTTGGGCAAGATACTGAACCCCGAATTGCCCCTGGCGGCTGTTCCGCCAGTGTATGAATGAGTGTGAATGTTAGTTTCCGTTTGAGCACTTAGGCTCAGTGTGTGAATGTGTGTGACTGGTGAATGCAGATGTAGTGTAAAAGCGCTTTGAGTGGTCGAAAAGACTAGAAAGGCGCTATACAAGTACGGAGCATTTACATTTACATGAACACTTAGGGGTTTTGTCTGTTATGATTCATCTTAATATTAACAGCATGCACTCGGCTCTGGCATCTGACCCAACAGCTGTCAAGAGGATTATTCATGAAGACACAGAAACGGCAGGATGAACTGGGTAACTTTAGACCTTTAGACTTTGGGACTTGAATTACACCAATTACATGTTGATTATTTTCCAAAACATTAGAAAATGGTGGGTGTGATGCTCAGTAATTGTGACCTTCCTGTCCTGTGGCCTTGAGAAACGAAAACAATAAAAAAAAAACATCTTACGAAAGTGCTGCGTATAATGCCTTTTAATGAGAAACTTGGGGTATAAAGATATTATATATTATGTATAAAAATATTAAATATAAATATTAACATTTTTGGGAAAGCTCATCACAAAAAACATTTAAAACCTTTTAGAAATAGCTAACAGTGTTTGTTTCTTCATCAAATTGTATAATTTGAGAAAGTCTGCTCCTAAATCTGAACTGATCAAATGTGATTTATTTGTGATTAGATGCATTGTGAAATCAAAAAATTCTAGCTCAAATATGTCTAATAAAGACATACAGTGCAGCGTCATTAAGAGCAATAGATGACCCTTGTACCCGGAGAGTGAGCCGATAAACACCTGTTCAGTATCAGGGGGGTAAAATGCAAAAAAAGTGTGTGAGGGGAGGGGGGAGTAGAGAAAGCAAGTCATATAAATCATTATACATATCTGTTGAGCCGGACACAACTCACTGTGGCAGACCGCTCTCACACACTCACACTCACTGACTTTCTATCATACCCAAATCAGATGTTGTAATTTTTGCAACAAGTTTTTTTGTTTTTAAGAAACTGAGATCTGGATATACTTTTGGTTGACTGCTGGGCCGAGAAGGGGACATGGATCCAATTGTGGAAGTAGTGGCTTTGGTGCTGGGGTTCATTGGTTGGGTGATGGTGGGGGTTGCCCTGCCGAACCGTTACTGGAGGACCTCCACCGTCGACGGGAGTGTCATCACCACCTCCACCATCTATGAAAACTTGTGGATGTCGTGTGCATCGGATTCAACAGGGGTACATAACTGCAGGGAGTTCCCGTCACTGCTTGCTTTGAGTGGTATGTTGACAAAAAAATCTATTCAAAAATACCACCTGTTACAATGTAGCCTAAATATGGATATGACTTTATATACAGTCCAGTGTTTCACATTTTCCCAGTCCAAAAATCATCTAATTGCAACAAATACTTTTGAATTATACATTTTTTTGATTCACAGAACATCAGTCATAGATGATTTTGACAAAGTAGTTAAATTACATGCAACACTGATGCTGTGGGAAATGATTTGTGTTTTGTGAAATGAAGTGTTTTACGAAAGGTCAGAATGGGCTCATTTATTGTAGAGTCAAGATGTGTTCGTGTTAATCCAAAAAGCATTGTAATATGAGTCAGAAAACAGCACACGAACAGTAGCATGGAAAATGTTACTGTAAGCAAGAATGCAGATAAGATAGTTTCTCAAAAACAAGCATTATCTTATACTACCAGGAACACAACAGCTACAGACAAACAGGTGTCTTCTGAGGGAAAGTTGTTCAATCCTGAAGTTTCCTCATGTAATGGCGTCAACAAGTGGGTAAAAGTGTAATAGCGTATAATCCCCTTTTAATTTTATAACCAATCAAAGACTGTAAATGACTTCCGGTTTTGATTGAGAACCAATGAGAATGTCTCGTCCCAGGAGAAGCATACTTTGAAAATATAAATGAATGCACAACTGAGCTTTGGTGGTTTTTTAGACCTGAACACATCTGGCACAGTGATGTTTATTTACACAACAATGCTTTGTCATAATTATATATATATATACACAATGTTTATAACAAGAAACACATTTATAGGCCAACATCAAATCTTACACTGGCCATAATCTCATGACCCCTTTCAAGGCTGATGACATTAAAAAGGTAGTGAATTCAGTGGCAGTTTTTGTTTATTTCCACACTGTGTTCAGGATATGTCCAAGCGTCTCGTGCCTTGATGATCACATCAATAGTGTTGGGCACCTTTGGTCTGATGGCGGCCCTGATAGGACTACAGTGTTCGAAGGCTGGAGGGGAAAACTATGTGCTCAAAGGGAGGATTGCTGGCACGGCAGGGGTCCTTTTCATACTTCAAGGTAAAATACATTTAAAAGTGTATTTTAGGAGAGAATAAACCAGTGAAACTGAATTCTTTCTGAACAGTCAGAACAAGATATAATGACCTCCTAAAACAATATGCACCTATAAAAAGATAAACTTTTCCAAAATACTAATAAATTATAATCATGTTTTACTGCTCATTCTAATCAATTCTCAATAAATGTCATAATGGTTTCCTGCAAGACTTTGGACCTCTAATAAGTCCTCCATAAATTTACTCCTGGTTCCCTGCAAGACTTTGGACTTCTGTGTAACTATCTGGTAGCTTATCCGCTCCTTCCTCAACGATTAAAGAGTATTTCATTGTTCTGTTTCTATCAAAAAGGTATGTGCACAATGGTCGCAGTGTCCTGGTACGCCTTCAACATCACTCAGGAATTCTTTGATCCTTTCTATCCTGGTATAAGGTAAGAACATGGTTTGGGGGGGGGGGGGGGGACTAAAAGGCTGTTGGATGACTGAAACTCCGCTGTGTGTGTCACAGGTATGAAATAGGAGAAGGACTTTATATCGGCTGGTGCTCCGCTGTGCTCGCCATCATCGGAGGAGCCTGTCTCACATGCTCTTGCAAAATGGGCACAGAGGAAAAATAGTGAGTTAAATTTTAACTGTTTCATCCTATTATATTTATTGATGGATTTACTGTTAATTGATTAGTTGGTTAATTGATTGCTTTTAAATATTTATGCATTGTTTTACAACCATTTGCATTGCTCTCTCGTTCCTCCGTACACCAGATGTAACTCTGGGAAAGTCTTTTTTAAGTGTAAGGTATTGAAATGAAAGAAAAAAACTGGGGTTAAAAAGATGGATTAATGAAAGAATTACATACGGTATGAATGAATCAATATATTCATTAATTGATCAAATACAAATAATTAAATAAAACAATAATTAGCTAGAATAACTAATATCTAAATGGATAGTTGACTTTAAAAATCAGCACAGTTTTGGCTGGGGAGGACCCAGAAAACCTTGACATTAATTTAGAAAGAAATTCATGGCACTCTGGCGGCTTGTTGTGGCAGGACTGTATTAATTCACCTGTGGGAAGTAACATGAGCTCTCATCGGACATTATCACCTGAACCTGTTCTTTCTAAGGACCTGTGTTTTTGACATATGGAAAGTTTTATTTAGGCTCTTTTTTTAAAAGGTTGGATGAAATGGAATATAAATCAAAAGGGATGGTGCACCTGGTGGTGGGTGTGTCTGTAGTGAGAGAAAGCATCACACTGGTTAAAGCCACCGTTTGTACGCTTTGAGAATTGAGTTTGGCGTCTCCCAGTGGCAGGGTAAAAAAAGACAATGCTTCAACACACAGACCATAGACTACCTGAGACAAATACTGATGTAAAATAAATGATGGCTGACTTCCAATTAGCTCCTTCCTTTCAGTTCCCTGGTATTGTGCATGCTGGCTCACTGTCATGACTAAACTGAGATAAATGTCTGTGATAAATGCCCACAGTATGAAATGCTTTTAATCTTGTTGATCTCAGGACATAAAGTGATTTAGGCATCCAACACCAGCGACTCACATTTTGTTTCACCATCTTGTTTTGCAGCCCTTTGCCTTATCAAACCAGGGGAACTGTATATTCTGGAGCTGCACCGACCAGGAGCGTAGCTAATAGTACTTATGGCCGAAATGCTTACGTTTGAGCAAGATCTTACAAATGCCGGAGGTAAACTTCTCACCTCAAATTTTGTTGATGCATCTAACATGTGCTAGTTTTCAGTTTTTTTCTCTTCAGATGGAGCTTTTTAAGGTCCATCAAATGTTCACTAATGGAAGTAACATAGCACCAACTGAACTGTATATAATCACAATATCAGGTGTGAATTCTGTAAAAATTAAATACTGAAGCTGTAAAAAAGCTAAGCTGCTTATCACTGTGCACATTTACAAAGTCACTTATTTTCAATCATTTGATGATCTGCATACACACTTCTAGACAAATGTTGAAGGTCAAAACTGTGATCATCCAGAGATTTGTGTGTTGTTTTGTACAGTTTTATAGATGTGAAAGAGGGTGAAGGAAGTTATCTTCATTTTGATGGGTTTCGTTTGTTTTATACAATTGCACATAATAAAATGTGTTTTGCTAAACATTTCATCTTGACTTTGTATTCTTGTAGTCAATAAAGTGATTGTGATTGTATTATTATATATAATAGCAATGCTAAGTTATTGTATTATATTATGTTAAATACTGCATTTAAAAAGAAATGAAAAAAGAAACAAAAGTCTTCTAAATAAATTATGGGGAATTAGGCATGTATTATTTAGACTATTCAGACATCACTTCATGTGTTTTAAATGTAATATTTCTATAAATCTACAAAATGAGGGTTTTGTACGAGAAAATTATCCTGTTATCAGAGAAAACAACAGTCGTTATCTCGAGATCATGAGAGAATTAAATTAAAAATTAAAAGGATATTCTTTTTCAGAATTACATACTTTTATTTATTTATTACCAAAAATGTTTTGCTGCATTCACGGGCTCCTCGGATGGTCCCACATCCCGAGTTGTGAAGTCATTCTTCTGATACTGGTGTGTTCATGAGCCTTTAAGCCAGAATGTGCAAACAACATGGACGGTCCTACAAAGATGTGTTGGATCGTCATTGTCAAACAAATATGCTGAAACAGTTTAAGATTTTGCTTGTACTGCAAAATACTGCTAATGAATAATATTGTGTCACACATTAATATATTTTAAATAATGCTTAGTACTGAGTACATCGCAGCAACGCAGCAACAGGCCTCCAAACAAGAGCCACATTGGTAAAATTAACTTTCGGTTTCCCTTTGGTAAATATGCACAATGAACAAGTGCAACCGGATCTACTTTATCTAGTTCCTTACATACAACACGCTGTAATAATATAAGTTATAACCATAGACTGCCATGCACTGTGACGACGCTTGGGGGGGGGGGGGGGCCCATGCAGGAATATGGGCGTGCACGCCGCCAACAGTGTTGTTAAAATAGTCCCTCCAATGAGAGCAGCCCACGTCTCTGGACGAAAACGGGCGTGCGGCGTGTGGACCAACCACGGAGATGTACGGCACAAGGGGCGGGGCCGCCGATACCGGAGGAAGGAAAAGGTTTCGTGTACAAAGTGTAGGAGCCGTCAGCTGTGCGACTTCATCATCATCATGTTATATGAAGGTGTTTTCAAGTTTAAGTAAAGCTAAACGAGTCCCCGTCAATGTGGGAAACTGCCGTTAAATCATTTTAGAGGGAACCTTTTTAGCTGCGCGCCTTGTTTCCACACGGACTACTGTCAAGCCGGGACCGTAAATACACCGTCGTAGCTGCTCCTGCGCCCCGGTAGAGGGAAACGATGACGGATCAATAAAGAAAATCACAGTTTTCAATGAAACAAATATTGTTTTCACTCGACGTGGAAGCAGAGCCGCTACGTTTGCCGGTTCCGGTGTGATTAAGACTCAGTGATGGATTCTTGTCGGCGGACCGGACTCAGCGGGGTCCTGTGCTCCCTGTCCCTGCTGTGTGTCATCCTGGACATCCAGCTGGACGGTAAGGCTGGCTTTACGTTTAAAGTGCAGTTTTTACAGGCCTCCTCAGACAAAAATAAAGACGTTTCCGGCTTGTTCACTGCTTCCAGCCGTTTACCAAACCCGCCGTGGAACGTCAGCTCGCCATGGTTACCTTAGGTCCCGCCCCTCCGAGACGGGCTGGAAATGAAATTCACTGCCAAGTAGTAACTCCAATATAAACATTATTTAGGTTGTAAAAGCTAAATTTAACAGCTTTACATTGTGTTTAAGTTAAGAGTTGTAGTAATAGCTAACAATACTTTGTGGAATCACAGTAAGTAATTTGTACCCCACCAGGACTACACACTTCCATTATTACCTCTGTAAATAGAAAAACATCCCTTTTTTACACACTAAATTCAAATATAAAATGCTATATGGAGCTGGTTATATGGAGAAAATGAAGGTTGCATAATGATACTTTAATTATGGAATGATCTGTTTTTTCATAATCTTTAACTTGTCTAAAATATTGTCAGAAAACAGCAGAAATGCCAAGTCCAAGGTGACATCTTTAGATTATGTGATGTGTTCAATCAGCAAAACCTTAGCAATCACAATTATAGCAATAACAATTCTATAAAAGAAATAAAAGCAGGAAATGCTCTCATTTTTTGAAGCAGGAACCTTTCTCTAAAAGACTAATTGATTGTCAAAATAGATTATGGATTTTTTTTGGTCAGTTGACTAAACATAAATTAGCGTCTATAGTGGTGTGCCATCTTGTGTCTTGGGATTGATGTGCTGTTATTTGAGATGGTTCAAGATGCAACTAAACTTGTAAAGACAGTGTCAGTTAGTTCAGTTTCTAACCCAGCTAATTAAATACCTGACAAATCATCGTCATCACACTGATGCTAAAATCACATACACATTCAGTACTGTCGTAAAGCAGCCCTACGCACTGAACTGCAAGAGATGAAGAAATGGCTTCCTTTGTGGCCAAATATCGGGCTGTTAACAAATTTCTGTGACATCATGATATATAACACCTTGTCTCTCAATCCTATAAAATATAATATGAATACACTTAACGTGCACCACAAAATGCACTTTTATTATGTAAGGAGTCAGTTTCAGGTGTTCTTGCATCTCTCACCATTTAGTGTGAGGGTTGTGATGTGGCAGCTTGGACGCTTGTATACCTTTCTTGTTAGTCTGAAATCTAATGCGCAGCACATTTGGCCACGTCTACACTTCTGATTTGCTTAAATACTTTAATTAAGACTTAGTCACTCACAGATTAGCTGCTAGTAGGAATGATAAATAGGCGGAGCTACTTGAGTGCAGTCAGATAGATTTGCTTTTTGAGTCACTGATGTGATATTCTTTGAAAAGTAGGGTAAAAAAAGGGTGACAAAGTTAAGCTACAACATGGTCTGCAGGTATAAAAGTGTCGCCCTGTCTTTCTCAGTGATATATTTCTAGCGAGGCTCAAGCGCTGTATTTTGTTACAGGGGTCTTGGGGGCAACTCATGTTGAGATCGAGCACCACTTGGAGATGGGCCGCAAACTTTTGGCTGCTGGTCAGCTGGCTGAAGCCTTGTCCCACTACCACTCAGCTGTGGGTAAGGTTACACACACTGACATGCAGACACACTTTTATACTCTCACTGCTGGGCAGACATTTTCACTCCGTGTCGTTTCCAATAATGCCTGCCCCCTTCCGTACTTGCCACAACATCATGTCTCTGTGTACAGACAAGAAAATGTCTTGTTCTTGATGTTTTACAGAGGGAGACTCTAAGAATTACCTGACGTACTACAAGCGAGCCGCCGTGTTCCTGGCTATGGGAAAATCCAAATCTGCCCTGCCAGACCTGACCAAGGCCATCCAGCTCAAGCCTGACTTCCTGGCTGTAAGTTCGCCTGATCACAACCAGAAAGACTAGGAAATTGTGAACTAAGTCCTTATTTTGTGTGCATGTGCTTTGTGTTCCTGCGTTTTTAGGCAAGGTTGCAAAGAGGGAATATCCTGTTGAAGCAGGGCAACACACAGCAGGCCAGGGAGGACTTTGAAGCAGTGGTACGTTTAAATCCTAAAAACACAGCTATTGCTATTCTGTTCAGTGTTTTACCTCAAACAGCAGTTTGCCTGAGTAATGCGTGTGTGTGTGTGTATTTCTTTTTTCGTTGTAGCTGCAGCGCTCCCCAGACCACGAAGAAGCTCACGACCAGCTGACGAGAGCCAACGAGCTGGAGGAGCTGCAGGAGGAGGCCCATGCTACCTACCACCAAGGGGACTATAGCACTACCATCAGCGTGCTAGAGCGAGTCGTTGAGGTGCGTGTCAGCTCTCAGTGGAGTAGGGTCTCCTGAAATGTAAAAAAAGAGCTCTTTCTGTGCATTTTGTCTGTTACTTTCTTACGTTGCTTGTTGGATTTTTGACCATTTTATGTCAAAAGTATTTAAAAAAGAAAAAAAGGAATTTTAACATAAATTTATATGCTGCTGAGCTGATTTAACTTGTATATGTCTCCATCTCCAGATCTCGCCTTGGGATCCTGAGTCACGGGAGCTTCGTGCAGAATGTTACATCCGAATGGGAGATCCGCAGAAAGCCATCCAGGATCTGACGCCGACCACGAGGCTGCGCAACGACAACCGCGCGGCCTTCCTGAAGCTGAGCATGCTGCACTACAGCCTCGGAGAGCACCACGAGTCACTCAAGTGAGCTGGAATAATCAAACTAGGTTTGATTTTAGTCAGCAGAGTCATGCAAATGAAGCTGATTTTCATATTGAGAGCGAGTCTGTTTCAAAGCGTTGGTTTTATCTACAAAGTGTATGTCTCACTCTTCGCTCCATCTATTGGTCTGTTTCTGTGCAGTCACATCCGAGAGTGTCTGAGGCTGGACCAGGATGACAAAGAGTGTTTCAGCCACTACAAGCAAGTGAAAAAGCTCAGCAAGCAGCTGGACGTGGCAGAAGAGCTAATTCAAATGGAGAGGTCGGTGGGATCGGTGCACTTTTCCCTCCTAAATCGTGATCCTCTTAGGGCATCTAATGTGTATTTACAAATTAAATGATGTATCGTTTTGAAATAGAAAATGTCAGCCACTTGGCATTGTTAAAAGCACTGGTGGGTCGAGTCATATACTGTACATACATTGAGATCTAATTCACAACCTGCTGTTCTTTTAATATATTGTTGAAAAAGTAGCAGTTAACACTAACTAACTAACTAACCTAATTAATTACCCTTACTGAATGTTCTCTTTACATACAATTAGGTATCAGGAAGCCATTGATAAGTATGAATCAGTGATGAAGACAGAACCTAATGTCCCGTACTACACCAACCTGGCCAAAGAGAGGATCTGCTTCTGCTTAGTTAAGGTAAGAGAGAGCGAAGGGAAACCTTTGTACATTTAAAGCTCTGCAGTTAGAGTTCCAACACATTGTCCCTCTTTCTGGCCAATTCTAGATAAAGCTGGCTCTGGAGGCGATTGACATGTGTTCAGAAGCTCACCAGAGAGATCCCCGCAACGCCAACGTGCTCCGAGACCGAGCCGAGGCTTACATCCTCAACCAGGAGTACGAGAAAGGTAACTCAGCTACAATTCACTGCAGCAAACTGACCTGCATTTTTTTTTTCTCCTCGTTACTATAAGAAAATAGGTTGGAAAGGAAGCAGAGCGGTCATCATGCGTGCCTCTGAGCTGAAAGATGGTATTTTAAAACAAAATGTAGTGTTGTCTGGCAGACAAGCGTTTATATTTTAACTTTAAAACGTCTAAATATCTGTTTCGATTCAGCCGTGGAGGACTACCAAGAGGCAAAAGAGTTTGACAGCGACAGTGTCGACATCAAAGAAGGGCTGGAACGAGCACAGAAACTACTGAAAATCTCTCTTAAGAGGGACTACTACAAGATCCTCGGTGTCAACAGGTAACCAGTCCAACATCAGACAGTAAACCCATCCCTTGTTTATCGAGCTCAATCGCTCCAACTAATCTATCATGAACCTTGTTTTCCTCAGGAATGCAAATAAGCAGGAGATCATCAAGGCGTACAGGAAGCTGGCACAGCAGTGGCACCCTGACAACTTCCAGTCCGAGACCGAGAAGAAAGAAGCGGAAAAGAAGTTTATTGACATTGCGTCAGCTAAAGAGGTCCTCACTGATCCAGGTCAGGAGCTGAGACGACCATTACATTTTCATTTTAGCTATTTAGCTGACATGTATTCAACAAATGAGCAGGGGCAGTTAAATGTCTTTTTAAGGGAACCTCAGTTAGTCTATTCTCTGGTCTCTGTTGAAGTTGTTCTCAGTGAAAACACTTTACCACGAATTACCAAAATATTGTAGCACGGTTTATGGCAGCCTGTAACTAATAAACTGTACTGTCACATTCCGCTAATAGCTCATTTAAAAGAATAAATTTGCCGAGAGTTAGTTGAGAAGATTTACACTGCAGCCATGTCTGTTCGTTAAATATGAAGCATACGGCCAGCAGCTTATTAGCTTAGCACAAAGTTGGAAACGGCTAGCTTGGCTCTGTCAAAAGTGACAAAACCCACTTACCAACACCTTTAAAACTCACTAATTAACACTTAACGTCTCATTTATTTAATTTGTACACAAACTAAAGTGTAAAAAACAAATTCTGGTTCTTCTGGGTTTATGTGCCAGTCTATTTCCTGCTAATCTAAGCTAACTGGCTGCTGGCTGTAGCTTCATATTTAAAGCACAGACACGAGAGTGGTATCAATCTTCTCATTTAACTCTCTGCAAGAAGGCCAATGAACATATTTCCCCAAATATTGAACAATACCATAATCAGTGGTCGAACACAGTTATCCAGCGACGAGATAAGACTTCAACTCAAATGCTTTGTTTCCAAAAGGCAACAAGAGGAAGTTATAAAATCCAGAGATACTAGATGTTAACGGACAGTGCTGCTGGTGCTACAATTACACCTGTGGCTTTTCAGTCATGAACAATCTTTGACCATCAGGAAAATGTTGCACAGTATAGCAATAACAAAAACACATATGTAGTATTGTCTTTTCAGTGAATCAGTACAATTATAAAAAAATTAAATAAGTGTTATTATTCTACTAGATGGCTATCAGGTTATTTTAGGTGATGTCTGTTTCATGCTATGCCATGATGTAGCTTCCACTGTCAAAATTTGTCCTTCCATTCTTTCCATTGTTTTGCCAGAAATGAGGCAGAAGTTTGACGCAGGTGAGGATCCCCTGGATCCGGAAAACCAGCAAGGTGGAGGTGGAGGACAGGGCTGGCCTTTCCACTTCGATCCCTTTCAGTCTGGCGGCAGCTTCCACTTCAAGTTCCACCAAAACTAGAAAGGAGGACTTGACGAACACGGGGGGAGGATAGATGGGACACTGGGGGAAGATCGGTGGAGGATTTATGGAGATGTCTTCTTCAGCACTGTGCTTCAGCTTGGGCACAGTTTCATCAGTTACTTGAACCTTAGAATTCTCTGCGCGCACAGCGGAGGCTTCAGCTGTACAGTGAGAAAATCAGGACTTCCTACCACAAAAACTAAGGACCTAACTGGCTGCTCTTAAATGAATTTGTCGCTGTGGTAGAAGAAAATTAAGTCTTGCATCAACACTTATGGATGGAAAGATGTTGGTTGAAAGCAGCCGATGTGGGACATTTGGGTTTCTGCTCTTATTACTCATTTATTTCTTTGTGCCATTCTTTGAACCTTTTATCAAGGGACTTTTAATACAGTAGCTCCTGCTTGGACATTACATAGGAGGACTGTGCCTGCAGTTGGGCTCTGCCTGCAGTATTCTTTAAAGGTGCAATGTGTAAGATTTGGCCAGAAGTTTAGTTTAAAACATTTTTAAAAAATGAACTAAAATCATCAACACAATGTGAAGAACAGTCACAAGATGTTCGTTGTGTTGCAAAAATATCTGCTGGAGTTAGCACCTGCTAACCAGCTAGCCCTGACCCGTCCAGTCTCATAAAATCAATTGTGCCTCTATCGATGTCGATAGTCTGATAGTATAGCTCTGGTCTCCCACGTAGCTACAGCTGGGAGATGTGTGCGAGCTGCGAATTCGCTTTGCTCTTTGCTTTTTTTGGCTGATAAACAAAATTGAAAGGAAATATTCTTACAAACTGAAAAAAATACAACCGTACAACTTCTGAATTCAAGTGTCTATTTTACCGAACCAAGACTAGCTTAATTACCTTGTAAACTGTAAAACACACTTCAGTCAAACTCGACAGAAAATGACAAAACAAAACTCATCAAAACTGCCTGTTAATCTTTCCACTGTTCCAAAAATCACCAGCTCTGGTTTGTTGGAAATAAACCCTTAATACAGAGTTGGATGTGAAAATATTCTAGCTGTACACAATGTCGCTGCCTCTCTGATGGCCGACCTCCTTCACGCCCCTCTCCTCTTCCCGCCTGAGCCTGCCGCTATAAATCACAGGCTGCTGGAGTATGAAAGGTGCCCAAAATCATGCAGTCTTGCACATTGCACCTTTTTTTTTAAAAGGAATCACATGTTTACTGATCTCAGTCTATATTTTTGACCATGTCAAATCTTCTCTGTACTAGAGAACCCAGATTTTTATACATGACTAATGATTAATGGTAAGTAGGTGAGACTTCAGCACTATTAAAGGAAAACTTGTAGGAGTTAAAGTTTTGAAATCCTATGGATCTTAAATCGGTGCCGCTCTGTGATTGTTTTTGATTTTGTTTTTAATTCCCTTTTTATTTTCTACAGATATCTAATCTGAATAATGTGTAAATTCTGTTTTTGGGTGGATTTAACTTCATCAGACTATGTATCCAGGTGCAAACATTATGGATGCAACTCATAATGAAAACTTATATTAACATGGTGAACTGAAAAAAATCAACTGATGACTGAATCAAGAGTCGTAGTATTTAGCTCTTTCCCCTTTCAAACATTTCAAAGCACATCTTTGAAAATTTGCACTTTTGCCCTTTGTTTGAAAAAACCACTCTGCATCTTCTCCACTCCTGAACTGTTTCTGTTTTAAAAGCCTTTCAGAGACTCTTTTACAAACCAAGTGTCTTCAACGGCTACCTGAGAGCCTCATTTACAAAACGGTCTGAACAGAAAAGTTCACACGCTAAATGCTGTACTGACGAGGAGCTGACATGGTGCACTGCTTACAGGTGTAGAGAACTGCTGTGACATATTGGATATAAATCAGTATATTTGGATAAAAAGGATGCACTGAGGCACAATTTGAAAACTAAACCATTAAATTGCAACTTTGTAAATGAGGCTCCAGTTTTACTGCCAGGAAAGACACACAAGACTTCTTTCTTTCTTGAAGATTTGACTTTTTGAGTACAAACTTAAGTTATTCTGTCAATATTATCTTAAGGACACACTGACTGTAACAGCTTTGAATCCTGTCTACTGCCTGGCTGTGTGAACCGAATGTGACAGGCTCTTTGTATTTAAAATCGACTGAGTGTGGCTTGTTTCTGGGTTTTTCTGCTGTTAGTGGCTCCAATTTTACAGTGGCCAAACTGAATCAGCTGACATGCTCAAGCGTATTAAAATATTAAAACAACTGAATTTTCTTCTAATTCCTTGATGCATGGGTATGCATACTAATAAATGTTCTGATGAGCACTACAGAGCAGCTCTCCCTGCAGCTGCAAGCATCTTAGTGGTTTCTTTTGAGACGTTTTAATCAGGATAGATGTTGGTCCTCACGGGGACTGAACCCTTACAATTAACGACAGACACAAAGTCTCAAATACAGTGCTCTGCTTCAAAACATCATGAAACAAAGACTTGTTTACTCTACACAGAACTGAAACACATTATTCACACCTTCTCATACACACGAGCTGAACTGTACAGGTGTCACTGCACATGGACACATTTTCAAGCACAGGGGGAATGGCTAAATCCAGAATATTGACACAGGAGTTCTGCATCAGTCCATCATGCTTTGAGCTCAGCCGCAGCCGTGCAGCAGGCTCACTTAGAGACAGTCACGTTGAGAGCTGAGTTTCGTCCAAACAGGCAGGGCCTTATCAGTGGTTAGCTCAGAACCCTTGTGCCTCTTCCAGACTGTCTGCCTCCACCTCGATGGATACCACATGGTGACCGGGGATCATGGCCAGGCCCAGGACTCTGGGTTCGCCCTGGGAGAACGTGTCTGAAGATAGAAAAGGATTTTTTATTTTATAGACCATTGTTGTGGAAATTGTAAATTGCTGGTGAGGGATTAAGCAGATAATTGAGTACATTTCATTTAATTTTTAGCTGATGCTTTTATCCAAAGCGACTTACAATTGCTATACATGTCAGAGGTCACACGCCTCTGGAGCAACTAGGACTTAAGTGTCTTGCTCAGTGACACATTGGTGGATGGGTCACAGTGGGGAATTGAACCCAAAGGCATACTACTTATCCACCACAACAACCAACCGCAGTATTGGAAGAATTTATTAATAAAATGGTTTCTATGTTTTGGGGAACAGAGATCCTCTCCCGGCCTTGAATGAACATTCAAGGAGAGGAGAGGAACAGCAAGAAAGGAAAACACCAAAACAATCACGCAGCTCTGACCTAAACCCTAGTAAATGTGGACAGACTAACATAAGGATTACAGAAGAAGGAAAGGTTAAGGATAAATACACAACACATATATATATCTACGGTATAAGTCATAGAAATTATAATAGTAAAATAACATACATAAAAGATTAAATGTAAACTACGTAATAACCAAAAAACAATGAATTTCAAAACAAAGACTAGCAGACGAGTGTTGAGGAGTTGACTGATTTCACACAATGATGTCAAACTGAGGTTACAAGGCAGAGTGCCATCCTCTGGTTAGAAAAGCTCTTTGGGAAAAAGCATTAATCTGTTCAAACTTGTCATTATCATAAACCTTTAAATGCAACTTGTGTTTCAAACTAAGCCGTTCCTCTTTGCCCTTAATCCCACCTGTCTCCTACCAGGAAATGAGAGGAAAGGAGATCAGGAAAGTGAATAAGAGAAGTAAACAAGACAGCTGTTTGCCTGCTGCCCATCCAGCTGCTCATCTGTATTGGACAAAGACTGTATATGTGTGTGTGTGTGTGATGCTCACAGAAGCCAATCACAGCAATTTGGCAGTGGGGATCCTGCATTTCTTTTTAGATTTTGGATTTTTAAATAGGTCAAGAAAGCAACTAAAGCGTGCTACAAACCAATGTTCGGCATATGTTTTATATTTATATATCATATTTTTTGTCCCATGTCCGGTTTCTTATAAGCGTGGATATTTGGCTTTAACTAGTTAGTAGAGAAAGAGTTTGAACTCTTTTGTTTCCCACAGTGGTGGAACAACTGGTAAGATATCAGCAAACAAAAACTTTCACAGCCACAAAAGAAAAGGAGGTGTTTAGGAAGCAAGACAAGCAGGTAACAGGATGCTTACAGTATGTTCTGTTCTTCAGCCTATGCTGTGTTTGTTACATGATGGTATAGGTTTGTTTATTGTCTTCACGCTGCTCGGCCGTCTTTACTTTTCGCCTACCTGTGGACTTGAGGAATTCCTGAGCTGATCCGAGGATGACGTTGCAGTCTCGGTCTGTGCAGAGAAAAAGCCCCACCAGGGTCCTTCCGTCTGTCATGCGGATCCTCATGTTCTTGTTCAGGAGCCCCTCTAGTTTCTGCCTGGCCTGGGACGACGAGGACACTTCAGACTGCTCCTGGGCGTGGACAGAAAGACAACACACTAAACTAACACCAAATTTAATGGTGAAACCATCAGTCGCTCCGTTGATTAGCTAATAAACTAAAAAAAAGTAGTCAAACAAAGTGTGCAATGTTAAGACACTGATTTAGACATTACTCAGTATTAAAAACTATTTTTACTTGCAACCGTACTAACTTTAGTTTACGGATTTACACCTGGGTTTGCTATCTGGTTAGTGCTTTACTTTAATGTTTTAATGCATAAATACATTAAAAAAACTGTATGCTGATTTTGCAAATATAGGTAGATATTTAAATCCTGTGCTATTAAACCGGTGACAGATCATCGTCTGCTGCTACGTATATACATGTATAGGTATATATGTATGTACATATATGTGTACACATGTATTCATGTGTACTTATGCGTGTGTATACATATATATACATACAGTATATATATCGGACACTCTTGTGCACCAGGCATTTACCTTTCACCAGGTTTTGTTCTGCATGGATTTGTGACGTCCACTTTTTATTTATATTAGTAATTGTTGTTTGGATGCTTGCACTGCCCCTCAGAAACGCTATCTCATTCTGCCCTGTACAAGCAGCTACGTGGTCGGAAAGACAATAAAGTCTTTGTACCTGGAACCGGTTGTATTAACATTAGCTAGTTAATTGGTTAGCTACTCGCTAACGTTTAGCTACACATGAAGTCTTGGAAATGAGGAAATATGTTTCAAGAAAACAGTTTTTTATGGCCCGTAAATAACAGCGTAAATAATCATGTAAAATACAATTAATAATAAAGACATGAATACATACATGAGTCGAAGGACCATTTTCCTCAATGATTGTTGCCATAACCCTTTACTCTCCTACATTTGCTTACGGAGCAATTTCTCCTACGGACCAGCTAAACCGGAAACTCAGTGTCCGGTGTCTTTTTTATTTTGAAGAGAGCGACACCATCAAGATTTCAGCATGAAAATGTGAACTTAAGTAAAACACTACATCGGTAGCATATTACAGTTGAAAGGAGAGGCGACACACTGCTGAAAGGAACAGTATTTAATGTAGGAATTTAATGCTGATACATTTTCATACCTGACCCTAAGAGTTGCGTCATTTCAGCCGAATTTGTCACAGCCTTCTGAAAACTGTTTGTGGTATTCATTTTATTATTTTAATAAAGTTGAATAGTAATAATAATTATAACCCCAAAACTTTCTGTTCGTTGTGTATTCGTTCACTGACTTCTCCAACTGTTGCATTCATGGCATGTGAATTAAGTATAGGTCTGTTGTTTCTCCTATTGCCATTTTAATGCAGAAACTACAATAATAAGAATGATTTGTGGGCATCAAAATGGGCCAAGAGAAGAAAAGATAACTGTAACTGTAGTAATTTCATATATAATGACTGACTAACAAAACAGCTACCGTCTCTACCATCTTCACAGTGTGGAAGAAAAGTTTGGAAGTTTGAATCTTGAGTCAACTCAATACAGTGCTTTTTGCAAACATTTCAGTTTTCTGATCTTAAATGAGTTACCTTTTCCGTCTGTCTCCTTTCGTTTTTGTTTAGAGTTACTAGTACTAGTACTTCCTGAATAGTAGTCCTGGATTCTAGATACTAGAATAAGATCAATGCATCTACACACTTAATACTAACAATTTGCACATCTAAATATAATTCAAGACAAGAAAGACAAATGGAGTTTGTTCTAAGGATAGCATACAGCTGGTCAACGATGAGGTTTCTCCTGTTCTTCCGATCATATTCTTATAACCAAAACTGGCTCATTCTCTTTTCTTCATGTACTAGTGCAACAATGCTGATAACACTACTTCCTGAACAATCTATATATTTCTGACTTTTTATTTATTTATTTTTTTACTTTAAGTTAATTCTATATTTTAATTAAGTCCTTTAAGTCTCAGTTTCAGTGGTAGTCTGAATTTAATATTTTGGATACGAAGATATCCAAAGAGACTGTTCTTGTCTGAAAGGGTGTGGTCCCAATTTTAACCTCCGCCTGCCATCAGGTGCTTTTTAGATTTTTTTTTTTTTGCATTCTTTTCAAAACTAGCTTATTCTTAGTATATTGGTGGAACAATCTATTGTATACCAATCAGCCATAACTTTATGACCACTGACAGGTGAAGTGAATAACACTGATTATCATGTTATTATGGTACCTGTCAGTGGTTGGGATATATTAGGTAGCACGTGAACATTTGTCCTCAAAGTTAATGTATTAGAAGCAGGAAAAATGGGCAAGCGGAAGGATCTGAACAACTTTGACAAGAGCCAAATTGTGATGGATAGACGACTGGGTCAGAGCATCTCCAAAACTGCAGCGCTCGTGGGATGTTCCTGGTCTGCAATGCTACTATACAAGCAATCCCGGTGAGACTGTGGGATATATGGATGCTTTGAAACCCATCATCAACACTGACAAAGAAACAACTCCTGGTTCAGTGTTCTAACATCCGCAAACGGCAACACCTATCACAACTAGAGATTGATGAGGTACAACAAATATGCTACGGCAAGGGGGAGCCAGAACGACAGGTCAGCAGGGAGATGTCATCATCATCCCCACACTCAGAGAACATAAGGGCGACTGACTTACAATTGAAGATCACAGCCAATCTGGACCCCCAAGTCCCAAGTACAACGACCAAGATTGCCAAGGCTAAGTGACAAAGCACCCTCTGAAAGAGGCCAATGAGCTGATGTACGCCACAGCAACAGTGATGCTTGGCTATAAGATGAACAATCTTATAGCTCAGGCTAGAGGCCAAGATCAAGGCAACATGAAGAAAGGTTAGTCAGCTCTCAGAGCTGGAAGTGGCTACCTGAGGCTCTGGAGACTGCCCGCCTAAAGAGATACAAGGGTTTGGTGGAGAACACCAAACCATACAAAGTGTTCTCTCAGTGGCAGGGTAATAACAAGAACATATGGGATCCCAAAACACCAATTAGGTGTGAAGAGCCGGACAGCACCAAGCCCTGACATGATCCTCACCTACTGGCTGAAGAAACTAACTGCACTCCTGATCAAGGGAAGGATCCCCAGAAGGGAACAATCCCATCCAACTACCGGCCAATAACCTGCCTCTGCACAACATGGAAGCTCCTGTCATACATCATAGCGGGCCCAGAAGGGAATGGGCAGTAATACCAGGGGAGCCAAGCACCAGCTACTGGTTGATAGAGCAGTCATTCAAGACTGCAAGACCAGGCAGACCAACCTGTGCTGTGTGATTGACTACAAGAAAGCCTACGACTCAATGCCACACACATGGATACTGGAATGCTTGGAAATGTACAAGATCAACAGGCCTTCATCAAGAACTCAATGGGGCTGTGGATACCAAGTCTGGAAGCCCACTCAAAGCCAATTGCACAAGTCACCATCAAGCGCGGCATATACCAAGGTGATGCACTATCCCTGCTGCTGTTCTGCACAGGCCTGAACCTCCTCAGCCAGATTATCACAAAGACTGGCTACGGATAACTGTTCCGAAGTGGAACAACCATCAGTCACCTCCTCTACATGTATGACATCAAGATGTATGCCAGAAATGAGCGAGACATCGATTCACTGATCCACACTACCAGGATCTACAGCAACGACATTGAAATGTCGACTGGACAAGTGTGGTTGAATGGTATCAAAAAGAGGGAAAATGATCAGAACCGAGGGGGTTGAACTACCAGAAGGCCACATTGCAGATGTTCAGGACAGCTACAAATACCTTGGGGTGCCACAGGCTAACGGAAACCATGAAGAGGCAGCAAGGAAGTCAGCCATAGCCAAATACCTACCAGAGTAAGGAAGGTCCTGAAAAGTCAGCTCAATGGGAAGAACAAGATCTGAGCCATCAACACATACGTCCTGCCAGTCATCAGATACCCCGCTCGTATAATAAACTGGCCAAAGGAGGAGATAGAGGCCACTGACATCAAGGGCAAGTGAGTGTCAAGACCACTATCCAGGATGAAACGACAAAGATCCAGGAGTACATCAGAAAGGTGGCCCCCAAAGATGAAGGGCTTAGTGAATACCTCAGGCAGCAGAAACCCGAGGGTGAGGACAAGGAAGACGAAGAACCTTCATGGAGAAACAAGCCATGTACCACAGATAAATAGAAGAAGTGGCTGATATCAAGAAATCCTACCAGTGGCTGGAAATGGCTGGACTAAAGAACAGCACAGAAGCACTAATCATGGCGGCACAAGAACAGGCACTCAGTACAAGATCAATAGTGGCTGGGGTCTACCGCACCAGGCAGGACCCCAGGTGCAGACTGTGCAAAGATTCCCCTGAGACAGTACAGCACATAACAGCAGGGTGTAAGATTCAGGCAGGAAGTGCGTACATGGAACGCCATAACCAGGTAGCTGGCATAGTGTACAGGAACATCTGCCATGAGTATGGGCTGGAAGTCTCAAGGTGAAAATGGAAGTGTTGTTGAATGTTAACTTTGTAGCATTTAGCATTCCCGATGTTGGCCCCTGGTGGTGATCAGATTCTTTTTTATTTCTCAAAAAAGGGCTAATATCCAGAACCATTTACATTTTTTTCAAAATTCAGTTTTGTTTTTAATAGGGCACGTTAACACACGCACACGCACCGACCCCGCTTTTATTGCTGCTGTGTAAAGGGAATACTGCCGGTAAAAAGCACCTTATTTGTTTAAAATGTTTGCAAACCACACGCTATTGCATATTTGTGTATATAGCAGTACATTTAAATTAAAATTGCGCAATACACTACTTTAGAATTCATTATTCTATTTTACACGTAACAATGGGATTAATCATGATTAATCACAAGACAATCATGCGACTATTGCTGGGCAACGATTAAAATTTTTAATCGTTGCCCAGCATGTATGTGGACACCATGCAACAAAGGAGTAAAATGCCACACCTGACAATATGGATTATTATGTTTTTTATGCCATGTTATGCTATTTATTTAAGCTCAATAGTTGAAAATTAACAATAAAAAACAAATACAGGAAAAACACTCACAGTGGTATTGATAACCGTAGTTACATGTATGCGGAAACCCAGTAGCATATTGTTAGTTAAAAGGTGCAATTTAATGCTGTAATATGCACGCTTGCGTTGTTATTAATGTTAATTTATTTGTTAAATGTCTGTTTTATTATAATTTTATTATAACACAATCACGTGCAGTGGTTAGCACTGTTGCCTCACAGCAACAAGGTCGTGGGTTCAAATGTGGGTTCAAACCCCGGTTTCCCCAGCCTTTCTGTGTGGAGTTTGTGTTCTCCCCGTGTCTGTGTAGGTTCCCCTTCGAGGGAACTCGAACTGCGTCGGTTACGACACTATGGGAACGTCTCTAGGCGAAGCAGGTCTGAACGTGAATGAAATCACTCCAATCCTATTGACCTGTTGCTAGAACGGTAAGGTGTGACGGAATAACCGGAGGAGTATAAAGCACACCTGTACACACTCATCATTAGCTTTTTTTTATTCAGCAGGCGCTCTGTATGTTGTTTGAAGAAAGCTCCAGTCCTACAAGCAGTGTGTCTTACCTGAAGAAGAAGTCTACCAGCATGTCTTGAAGACCGGGGTAGGGGAGTCTTTCTCCCCTCCCGCGTGACGAACATTTCTCCGTGGGTCCTGCGCACTGCCATACATGGGTTTCGACTACAGTTCAAAACCCGCCCTCCAAAATTCAACGGGGTGGTTTGGACTGTGGTCCGCCCAGAGCAAGGTCCGGTGTTGGGACAGGAAGTTCGTACTCTGCTGAGGAAAGGGGCCGTGGAACGTGTCTCCCCCCCCAGACAGAGAAGCCGGTTCTACAGCCGGTACTTCATAGTCCCCAAGAAGGACGGAGGGCTGCGCCCTATTTTGGATCTGCGGGTTCTAACCGGTCTCTGAGGAGATTCAGGTTCAAGATGCTCATCATCCCCGCCATCGTGACGCACATCCAATCTGAGGATTGGTTCGTCACGATAGATCTAAAGGACGCCTATTTCCACGTCTCCATCCGTCCTTCTCACAGGAAGTTCCTGAGGTTCGCCTTCGCTATCGGGTTCTTCCATTCGGCCTGGCACTTCCCCTCGCACATTCACCAAATGTATGGATGCAGCACTGGCCCCACTGAGGCTCCAGGGCATCCGGATTTCAACTACATCGACGACTGTCTCATCCTAGCCCAGTCTCAAGAGTTGGCGGTTCGGCATCAAGATGTCGTTCTGGCTCATCTGCGGCGTTTAGGGCTGAGGCTCAACGCAAAGAAGAGTGTGCAGGCGCCCACCCAACGGACTACCTTCCTAGGGGTAGTATGGGATTCGACAACGATGCGGGCACAATCGTCTCCGGAACGTGTCGATACCATATTGGCTGCCGTGAAAGGGGTGAAGTTAGGCCACGCCATCACTATAAAACACTTTCAACGAGTGTTGGGTCTCCTGGCGGCTGCGTCCAGCGTAATACCATCTGGACTGCTGCACATGAGACCCCTGCAGTGGTGGCTAAGGAACAAGGGTTTTTCCCCAAGGGGAAATCCTCTCCGTCTCATTTGGGTTACGCACAAGTGTCTTCGTTCCCTATCAGTTTGGAAGGAAACTTGGTTCCTGTCCCAGGGGCCCGTGCTGGGAGGGTCTTGTAGCCGGCCCGTCATTTCGACAGACGCCTCCCTCATGGGCTGGGGCGCGGTCATGGACAGCCGCTTTGCAAGGGGATCCTGGCAGGTGCATCAATCCGAGTGGCATATCAACTGTCTCGAGATGTTGGCGGTGTTCCAGGCTCTAAGGAGTTCCCTGCCCGATCTCCAAGGCCACCACGTCCTGGTTCGTTCCGACAACACAGCGGTGGTGGCCTATCTGAATCACCAGGGTGGTCTGCGCTCTCGCCCTCTGTACAGACTGGCGCGTCAGATCCTCCTGTGGTCCCAGCAGAGGTTACTATCGCTCAGGGCGATGTATCTCCCGAGGACGCAGAATTAGGGAGCAGGCCTGCTGTCGAGGCAGGGGCCGAGGCCCGGGGAATGGAGACTTCATCCCGAAGTGGTGGAGCTCTTGTGCGAAGAGTTTGGCCCCATAGACATGGATCTGTTTGCGTCTCAAGAGACTACGCACTGCCCGCTATGGTTTTCTCTCGTTCCTCCAAGATATAGTAACCCAAAATGGAGTTAAAATACCTGTTCACAAATGTGGACACCACGCATTAAAGGGTTAAAATAGCTTCAGCAATAGCTAGCTATGCTGACTGAAGTTGCCCTATGACAACAAAATGATAAAATGACTGTGTGATGGATGGACATAATGTGTATGTCTATTTAAGAAAATAAAAACATTCAATGGTTACTAACTGTGATTAGTTGTCTCGAGCAACTGGCAGATGGAAGCAGAGAAAATTGCAGACAGCTGAGTCTGAGTGTTGGTCTCACAACGGAGATGTACTGCCAATATGACCTCCTGAATTATGTATATATTTATTTTATTGGTGTTTGGAAAACACTAAAACTGATTTATTGATACTTGTAGAAGCTAACAGTGTGTAAGGAGAGAGACACGTCCACATGAGCACAGGTTCAGCTCAAGATATTTACAATGTGATGAACTGTTAGTAGTGTTAACGTTCCTTCTTCCATCTTTCTTTGTCTATATATTTTAAACTTTTTTTTTGCTTTATTATCTGATATCTTGGTTTCATCAGGTGTCTGAGGCTGAGCCAACCCCACGTTTGCTGAACAAAGCATAATGTCCTAGAGAAGACTTGTTTTAACTGTGATGGACTTGGCATTCGCTGTGACAAAAACTAACCATAAAGATGAACATGAACTGACAGAGTATTGATTTTAAAATTGGGCTCTGAGAAACTGCTTGTACTTTTTACTCCACTCTATTTATTTTACAGTTTGAAAACAAGACTTTGCAAACAAAACATGTGAAAGAAACAAACTTTTACTTTCAGTCAATGAAGTGTGTCATCCCTTACTGATAAAACTGGGGAAGACAAAATGTCAAACACTTCACAGTATAAGATGACATAAAAACATTAAACATACCATATAATATTAAAATTCAACAGCACCACAAACTACAGCCACCAAATTACTATACAACTGAAAAAACACCTATATCAATTTCAACAGAAACTGAACATTAGAACTTAATTAACATTAACATTAAATATAAGATAAAAACTATGTACATAAAAAGTGTCCAATGTCCAAGCCTTTGGTAGGGGGATAAACAATCATTTCTGTTTTTTGATGTTCTCCAACCACTGCTCCTTTGGGACAGCCTCTACAGAGGGGCAGTAAACCACACCCTTGTATTGGCTGTGTCCAGTTTCAGCTGTCCTGAACTGCCCGCATTTCTTGCACGTGTTGTGCTGTACCTTACGGGTCAGTTTTCGCGGGACTGAAGCAGGAGCAGGAGGAGCTGAGGAGAGGCTGACACCCAGGGCCTTTGGAGCCAGCATCAGGAACTGAGGGAATGTGGGTGGAGCAGGGATGAGCTGTGGCTGAGGACCCGAGTGTGGAGCAGGGATGAGCTGTAGCTGAGGACCCGAGGGTGGAGCAGGGGTGAGCTGTAGCTGAGGACCCGAGGGTGGAGCAGGGGTGAGCTGTAGCTGAGGACCCGAGTGTGGAGCAGGGATGAGCTGTGGCTGCATCACCTGCTGAGGACCCGAGGGTGGAGCAGGGATGAGCTGTAGCTGAGGACCCGAGGGCGGAGCAGGAGTGAGCTGTAGCTGAGGACCCGAGTGTGGAGCAGGGATGAGCTGTGGCTGCATCACCTGCTGAGGACCCGAGGGTGGAGCAGGGAAGAGCTGTAGCTGAGGACCCGAGGGTGGAGCAGGAGTGAGCTGTAGCTGAGGACCCGAGGGTGGAGCAGGAGTGAGCTGTAGCTGAGGACCCGAGTGTGGAGCAGGGATGAGCTGTGGCTGCATCACCTGCTGAGGACCCGAGGGTGGAGCAGGGAAGAGCTGCCACTGGGGACGCAGCTTCATAGCCACCGGTGTCACAACTGTGGGTGAGACCTTCCTCTTCACCTCTGCCAGGCCCACGGCGCTGCCTAGTGCAGGGGGCGCACAGGGGGGAGAACGGCAGACTGGGCAGAGGCAGCATCCACAGAGGACACAGCAGCTGGAGAGGACGCAGCAGGGAGGACGCAGCTGGAGAGGATGCAGCAGACAGGCAAGACGCAACAGCCATAGCAGACGCAGCGGACAAGGAGGAGGTAGAGAAGCTCCAGTCATCAAGGAGACTTGACACTGTATCTTTCTCGAAGCCATCGTCTTCTTCTTCCTCGCCCTCATCTACATCCTCCAGGATGCCCTCCGTCTCCTCTGAGTCGGGGTTCACTGCCAGGGGCTGTCCAGTCTGACTCAGCAGGTAGTCAACACCAAGCAGCTCTCCTATGAGGAATAAAACAAACATGTTGATAGTTGTATTCAAAGCATTTTACATCAAACACTAACCTAACTATTTTGTAGCCACATATCACTTAAACATACCAGTGTATCTGGCAGATGGCCTGAAGTTTGGCACAAGTACCCGGCCAAACACTTTCAAGCTGTTGGTGTTGACACACTGGACCACATCGCCGGCGTAAGTGAGGAGAGATGACGGCTTGGTAGTCACCGCTACAGTCCCCTGATCCTGGTTCCACCTGTTGAGGCCTTCCAGGAGGTACAGCTGAAAGTTCAGTGCGTTGGCACTGGTTCCTGGGAAACCAACAAAATATTTATATATTACATAAACCAATGAAAAATGTTTCGCTTTTCAATCTGAATAATGTGTTCATAAAAAGACATACACTATTTAAAATATCATAAAAGAGACACCAACCTGGAATGAACCTGTTCAGGTGGAAATGAAAAGCCTCCAGGGACGTGGACCCTCTGGCACAGCGGTACCTGGTCAGGACAACGCCCCCCTTGGTGGTGTCGCCTGTCTCTGTGTACAGCTGCACACCTGGCACATCCTGGATGCACCTGACGTGTCGTTTCTGCACACGCCAGATGTGCTCCATGCGCACCTGGTCCAGCAGCGGCACCCCCATGAGGTCTCTCCCGTTTGCCCCCCCCAGTGTTTGCAGCAGCTGCTCGATGAGGCTGATGGTGCCCTCCTCCCCACGTGTCCTCCTTCGGCAGTACTGGTTCAGCTCCTTCTTACTGATTCTCCTGTCCACCAGGAGATCAGTAAGCGCTGGCACACCCTCCTGTCTGAGTTGCTCTTTCTTAGCCTGCCGCAACAGACTGAGGTCCCCTGCATCCCACTCAAAGATGCATGCAGACAGGTAGCCCATGAAGGTGGGGTAGAGGGGATGAGCGTCAGTGGTGCAGCCGATGGCCAGCCTTTTCATGAAATGCCAGATGTCCAGTCGTATGTGGATGTCTGGCCACTGTGCAAACCTGGTCTGCAGCTTGCTCTCCCCCTCGCTCACGCAGCAGCCACAGTCCACATACAGCAGTACAGGTGGGGGAACACATGCCCGGCTGTACCGCTCCATCACCCCAGACACCATCTTGTCCAGTCCCGGCCCCTCCTGCACTGACAGGACACTGGTCAGGACCTGGCCAACCTCATTGCCTATGGAGGTAACGCAGAGAGCTGTCCCCCTGCCGTGGCCAGCCAGCTTCTTTGTGATCTGGAGTTTAACGTTTAAGATGTTTTACAGTTTATCTTTAGCAGATAGCTGCATATGTAACATTACCAATGACAACAACATTAACGTGTATATGTGATATTACGTACATGTAACTCTCTTATAATTAGACTGTTTATTACCTTTTCGGTTGAGTTCATCTTTAAGATAGAACCAAACGTGGAGGTGATGCTGGCCTTAATATGGTCCAGGCGGGAAAGGATGTCCCTGCTGTAGACAGACAGCAGCCAGCGACTAGTAGGGACATCAATGGGCTCCGGGGGCTCCTGGCAGATCACTGGGAAGAGGCCGGGCCGCTCCATAAAGTTAGCACACTCCCCAAGATAGTGTGCCAACCGGTTCAACCATTTCTCCCCGTGGTTCTCCCTGAGCTGCCTTATCAGTCGAGCTGGACTGTTTCCGAGGGTCCGGTCCCGAAGCAGCCGAATGACACGGATGTCACAAGCATACCTGAAAAGTACATTTAATTTAATTTACTGGTTTATTTAAAATAGAGTAAGTGTACAATAGGCTTGGACGATGTGACAGTATGACAGTATACCAGGGTATTTAGAAATCCTGACGGTATGACTTTCGATACCATCAAAAATATGTACACTACAAGTTCATCTTAAAGATGAATTCAACCAAAAAGGTAATAAATAATTAGTATTTTTGTACTGGGCGTATAAGCCCTATCACTCTCTCTCTACTGTTTTCACCAGGACAACTAGCTGTGTGAAGCAGAAGACAGTTCACCCTCCCTCGCTTAGTTTTCACACAAATATACTATATAGCTACATACTGTTTATACCACTTAATGATACCATGCCTGTCTGTCAACCATTTTTAAAATTAGTTTTAACCTGATAAAACTAATACAAAACCACACAGTACTTCATGAAGTAAACAAACACTGGTCTTAAATAAAAAACCTTAACCAAAAAATATTTTCCCAGTGCTTTAACGCATCAGTGTGTAAGTTTTAGTGGCATCTAGTGGTGAGGGTTGCAAATTGCAATCATCGGCTCATGGTGCATTGATGTGCTCCTGGGATGGTCCCATTTCGCAGACATCCAGTTCACTCTACGTGGACAGTAAACTAACCATTGTAACTATATTAGAAATTACATGTTTGCAAAATATGCTTTTGCACAAATCAAAGTTCTGTAATTGTCTTTATGTCCCATGTACACTTTATTTCTCTGTTCATTCTGTAAGGTCTTTAAACACCACTGAAAACATAGTTATGGATATTATATTACATTTCTGTCAACAGATCCTCCTAAATATTACACACTGGACCTGTAAGAGCTTGTTTAAACCATTTACAAAAAAGGTTGTATTGTTGCAGGCCAGGAGGTTGTACAATAAGACAGATGTGATAATGCCATAGAGTGTATGTACATTGTAGCTGCACCTGTATTGTGTAAGTAATTACGAATACATTTGAAATTGATTAAACCATGTTTGACTTTCCTTGAGATACAGTGATTAGTTACATGTTTACTGGAGGATAATTTCACAAACATTTCAAAATGGCTTTACTCACTTGCGTGTCAGGATCACCTCAAACAGCTTCTGGTGTGGCAGGTCCAGCTGGTCCCGGACAGTCTGACTGGTAGACAGATAGTTCAGGGAACACACAGTGCACCTGAGTGTCTCTGTCAGCATCAGGTAATACCTGTCGATGTCCAGGACCTTCCGAGCCCTCTTGTGGACACCATAGCCCGTCAGCTGCTTCCCACAAGCCGGGCAGGACACCCTCACCTTCCACAGGTGGTATGGCATCCACACCATCAGCCGATGGGTGAAGAAGTGGTCGGGTGCCGGTGTCTGGTGGTAAATGAGCGCTGGGACAGGGGGCTCATACCACAGCTCCAAATCTGGCCGCAGTTTGCCGGAGGGAAAGAGGGTGCTGGCAATCCAACTCTGGTCCTGCACAGGAATGGTCTTGCTCAGCTCCCCCGGCAACCAGAACGAAGCTGCAGCACCAGCAGTGGCTGAAGAAACTCCTCCGGTCTCATCCTGTTTGGACGACAATAACAAATAAGAATTAGTTTATTGCATAAATAAAGGATCCCCCCTCCTCCATAGCTTGAGTGAACTGAAAGGACAAAAAGACTTACTTTTATGACGCAACACATACAAAATGATTTATTTACATTTGTACAAAGATTTATTACGAAGAAAATATTCACCATTGACAAACTCACATGGGGCTGCACGAAAGACCTGGGAGCTGCAGTAGTTGCACCAGGGTCTGAGTCTGAGGCCACAAACTGAGGGGTCGCACCAGGGTCCGAGTCTGAGACCATAGACTGAGCCTCAGACTCAGTCCGGGCTTCAGCGGGAGTCTGTGTTGCAGGCTGCTAAAACAACAGCATTCTGACACGTGATGTAACAGCAACAGCATTGTAACAGACACGTGACGCAAGATTAACAATAATGAGATGTCATTTTTAAAGAGATCACCTTAACAGCGTGGAATCCACAATTACAGGCCACGGACCCTCCAAAGAGGGTGGTCAGTCTATGGGCTTGCATGGGGCATTTCTCAATCTGAAACAATCAGAATTGTTATTTAGCCTGGAGTGAGTCTCTCAGTGTACAGTAAATCATCTGACTGATACTATCTGCATCATCATATCGCCTACTTTACCTTCACATACTTTACCTTCTGGTAGAGGTCATGCCACTTCTGCTGCCTTTGGGATGGTCTATTACCTCCAGAGGGCCAAACGCCAGAGCTGGCAAATGCCCTCAGCCTCACCATCCACTCTCCATCTCCCATGGCCTTGTGGCTCTTAGGTTTAGTGCTCATCTAATAATATGGAAATAATAATAGTTGTAATAGTTACAACTATATATCACAGAAACATGGTGTGCTGAAAAAGTGCATATTTATGAGTAATTGTTACAGTAGTATAATTATGTTTATAAGCAACCCTGATAACGTGTTGTTGAATTCAGACACAGTAATGACACGGATATATCTAAAATCATTAGCAACTGTCAGTCTTACCTAGCCTTCAGGTGGGCATTATAACTTGGAGAAACAATATTTTAATTAAAATGAATTAATTAAATAAATGTCATCTCTTATATCCACAGACCCTGGAATGCTGAGTTCACTTAACAACTGCCTTTGTGAAGTTAAAAAATGGATGTCAAGTAATTTCCTCCAGCTGAACTCAGACAAAACAGAAATCCTGGTCATCTGGTCCCAGCAGATGGCAAATCAAATACTGCCATCTGCTGGTTCCCTAGTAAATCACATTAAGCCTGTGGCAAAGAACCTTGGTGTTTGGTTTGATAGTAATTTAAATTTCGAGCAGCACACCACAAAGCTTGTTCAATCATGTTTTTATCAACTTAGAAATATAGCTAAAATTCGATCTATGTTAACTTTTAAGGACACCGAGACCATTTTACACGCCTTCATCTCATCACGCCTGGATTATTGCAACAGCCTTTTCACCTGTTTAACCCAAAAATCTATTGATCGACTCCAGACTGTCCAGAACTCAGCTGCCAGGCTTTTAACCAGAACAAAGAAATATGACCACATTACTCCTATTTTAGCTTCATTACACTGGCTCCCAGTATGTTTTAGAATTGACTTTAAAATTCTATTGATCACTTTTAAAGCTCTTCATGGCCTCTCGCCTTGTTATATTTCTGAACTTTTAGTCCCATACACACCAGCACGTACCTTGAGATCCTCGGGCAGAGGTCTGTTGTCTGTTCCAGAGTCTCGACTGAAAACTAAAGGGGACAGAGCGTTTGCTGTCAGGGCCCCGAGGCTCTGGAACAGCCTGCCGAGGAAATCAGGTCGGCTGAGTCAGTGAACTCTTTTAAGTCCCTTCTTAAAACATACTTTTATAGGAGAGCTTTTCCCGATCTTATTTGACTTTATTTTATCCCTTTTATTTTATTGTATTTTACTAATTTTATATTAAATTTTCATGCTCTTATCTTTTTTTGTATTATTCTTTACACTTGTTAAAGCACTTTGTAACTTGTTTTTGAAAAGTGCTCTACAAATAAGGATTATTATATTATATGTCATTTGCTAAGTAACGTTAGCTTAGATAACTAACGTTAACCTAACCACGGCTGTCTTAATGGGGTAACGTTGGTAAGCTAAGATAATAAAACTTTTAAATAAAATGTTTCTGTAACTACTCACTGTTTCCACTAGTAATATTACAGTTAACGTTATAAAACGTGAGTTAGTAAATTAGCGTTACGCTAACGTTATGATGACTAAAGTTGCACACTGTTGTGACTAAGTTATCAACAAAACGTAAATATGACGCCTGGAAATTTAACGTGTGGCTAAGTTACTTAAAAAGAGAATAAAACAACACATGGCTGTTTCCACTCATAGTAATATAACAACGTTATAACAAGTAAGTTCACGTTAACAAGTTAGTAAGTTAACGTTAGCTTAACAAACTGCTGACAGTTAGCTAAGTTAACGTTAAGCTGACTGAAGTTTCCGTATAACGTAATTTGACAGCCCACAACAAAGCGATAAAATGACTTTGTGCGACGGCTGGAAATATAACGTGTGTGGCTATTTAAGGACTAAAATAACAACATTTAATGTTTACTGACTTTGACTGTTATCTTGCGCTTACTTTCTTTTCGACGAGCTGCAGGAGCGGCGATGTCCAACGTCAGTCAGCGCCGTGATGGGCGACGTGTCCTGCGGCGGGATTGTCTAGCCCAGCTTCCAATGATCTGTACATTCATTTGATTGGTATTTGGAAAACATAAACTGATTTATTGAGAGTTGCAGAGGCTAATGGTGTGTAAGTGTCAATTAATAAATGATTCTGGATACAAGGACATGTTACTGATGATGTGCCCTATTCATTTTGCCAGTGATACTTAAGCACTTGGTTTCTCTGACCTTTAATCCTGATCATGGAAAGTAGTTGAATTATTTATGCAAAGTTACCTGCTTACACATAAGCACAAAACCCGGCGTACTTGTCTTTCCTTGAACCACCAACCTTTCCTTGAACTGGCCTCCTCTTAGGGGGTGTGGCCTCTCGTTATAAGCCACACCCACCTCATTTGCATTTTAATTGTAGAAGTCAGTCTGGATACAAGGTAGAAACTTTAGTCATGGCCTTTTAAATTGAGCATTCATATGCAAGTAATCAATAGATTACTACAGGCTACAGTGTAGTTATCAGCAGTCATTTTAAGCATTTGTTAAGTATGTCCTGTGTCATTTACACTCAGGACTCTGGGGACTCTAGGGACATGTCATGGCTGATTTTGTCTGAGTTTACATTGCATTAAGTAGCACTTACCATTAATTATAGCCTGAATTATTCTTAAGATACTATATATGATCAATGCATCTACATACTTAATACTAACAATGCACATATAATTCAAGACAAGAAAGACAGAGGGAGTCTGTTATAAGGGTAGCATACAGCTGGTCAACAATGAGGTTTCTCCTGTTCTTCCAATCATATTCTTATAACAAAAACTTCTCTTTTCTTCATGTATTAGTGCAACAATGTTGATAACACTACTTCCTGAACGATCTATATATTTATTCATTATGACAATGACATTTATAATTGTAGAACTTAATTCTGTTTTTTATTTAAGTCTTTTCAGTAGTATACAAAGGCACTACACCAATTAGCCATAACATTATGACCACTGACCGGTGAAGTGAATAACACTGATTATCATGTTATCATGGTACCTGTCAGTGGTTGGGATATATTAGGCAGCATGTGAACATTTGTCCTCAAAGTTGATGTGTTAGAAGCAGTTTGTGGACGACACCACCCTCATTGGGCTCATCTCAGGTGGGGACGAGTCCGCCTACAGGTGGGAGATCGCCCATCTGGTGACCTGGTGCAGCCAGAACAGTCTGGAGCTCAACGCTCTGAAGACCGTGGAGATGGTCGTGGACTTCAGAAAGAGCCCAGCCCCACCCTCCCCCATCATCCTGTGTGACTCCCCGGTCACCACTGTGGACTCCTTCCGCTTCCTGGGCACCATCATCTCCCAGGACCTCAAGAGGGAGCTGAACACCTCCCTCACCAAGAAGGCCCAGCAGAGGATGTACTTCCTGCGGCAGCTGAAGAAGTTCAGCCTGCCAAAGACAGTGATGGTGCACTTCTACACCGCCATCATTGAGTCCATCCTCACCTCCTCCATCACCATCTGGTACGCTGCTGCCACTGCCGGGGACAAGGGCAGGCTGCAGCGCATCATTCGCTCTGCAGAGAAAGGTGATTGGCTGCAATCTTCCTTCTCTTCTGGACCTGTACTCCTCGAGGACTCTGAGGCGAGCAGGAAAGATTGCAGCTGACTCCTCCCACCCCGGACACAAACTGTTTCAGACTCTCCCCTCTGACAGGAGGCTGCGGTCCATCAGGACCAAAACCTCTCGCTACAAAAACAGTTTCTTCCCATCTGCAACTAGCCTCATCAACAAGGCCCGGGTCCCCCACTGACACTCCCCCCTTGCAAACGATACAAATGTCACCTGCACATGTAAATACCGTTTCATCTCGTGTCGGGCTCAGACATGGCAAATAGCACATATTTGTTGTTGATTGTTGATCTTTGTTGTTGTATATTTTTATGTTGTCAGTTTATATATTTATATGTACACAATATTCTCTTCCGTTACGTTACTACGTTACTGCACAGCACAGACCCAGAATAATGCACATGTATATATCTGCAATGTTGTTCTTCAATTCCATATTTATATATTTCCACATTTATTTATTTATGTTGACTGTATGTTTGTCTACGTGTAGCACCTTATCACCACAGCAAATTCCTCATATGTGTAAAACACTACTTGGCAATAAAGCTCCTTCTGATTCTGATGAAAAATGGGCAAGCGGAAGGATATGAACAACTCTGACAAGAGCCAATTCCAGGCCCTGGCCAGGCCTGGAATTGGACAACAGTGAGGTTTAAGACTAAACATGTTTTACACATTAAGTGTTTGTAGATTTATTGTTTGTAGAAAAAAATTTTGCAGCTATTTCACTCATGCCTGTCTTGAGAGGTTAGTAAAAGGAGAAAAGGTAGAAGTTGTCAACATTTTTTTTTAGGATTTCTGATTTTAATATCTCATGGACAATCCAACAAAGTTTAATAAATTTCAAATATATTTATAGTTACTTAAGTAGGAGTGCAGCTACGATGTGCATGCACTCTATGATATTATCACATCTGTCTTGTTCTACCACCTACTGGCCACAGACCTGTACAACAACAATACAGCCCCTTTGTAAACTTTTTAAACAAGCTCTTAAAGCACTGGACATAAAACCAAACTCACAACACTATTGCAAAAATTGTCGAAAAATGCAACGTATTGAGCTTTGATTTTTCTTTTTGATCAGTGTTTGTTAACTTTATGCAGTGCTGCATGGTTTAGCTCCCTCCAAAACTATTTATTCTACCAGCTAAAACATGGTGTGCTGAACAAGTGCATACATATGAGTACAGTAATATAAAAATAATGTTAGTTAAACAAACTACACTGACAACATGTGCTGTTGCATTCAGATAGCCTACAGTAATGATATGGATATATCTGCAACCATTAACAGTTATCATTCTTACCTTGGCTTGGTACTTTGTGTATGTATGTCTTTAGCAAAGTAACTTAGTATTTACAGTAAAGCAGTAGGTAATGTAAGCAAACCCACAACACTCAATGTGAACATGCATTGAACAACACACTGTGACAGTGCAGCACATAAACACATGCTCATGTAACGCTACTGTAGCTGTATGATTAGCGTTTGTTACTGGTCAGACGTCTCCGGTAGCACTGGTACAATGTTACTTTAATTACTGTGAAGACGTTTGCCTGTTTCCATTCAGAGTGATTTGGGTCCACGTGGCTGTTTTCACTCATAGTAATATTAACGCGTAAGGTAAGTTAACGTTATTACATGTAAGGTTAGTTCATAATGTAAACGGTAAACCAGTTTGTTTATTTGACTAAACGAAACTGCAGAAACGTCGGCTAACGTTACCTCCTTCTCTCTCCTACCAGGTAACTTAACTGTAGAAGACAGAGCTAGCTGACTTGTTACACACGAAAACTTTCACCAAATCTCCTCAGAGAAAACACAGCTTCCTCAACAAGGTAGGTTAAAGTAGCGGTAGCTAACGTTATGCTGACTTAAGTTACCTTAACATTAACCATTTATAGTAAGTTACCATTTATTTAGAGTTGTAGAAGATAAATGGTGTGTAACGTTAACATTAAGTGTCAATTGTTATTTTAAATTTAACAAGAACATACTGCTACTCACGTTGTCTCCAGTTACTATTACTGCTGGTATCTCTAACCCCTATTACCCTTATTAATGGAGTCATCAAATTTAAATAAATAAATAAATAATCTGCGTCCCTGGGTGGGCTCGAACCACCAACCTTTCGGTTAACAGCCGAACGCGCTAACCGATTGCGCCACAGAGACGAGGTTCTTAGAAGAGGTGTGGCCTCTGGTTTTAAGCCACTCCCACATTATTTCCGGAGGTCTTGCTTTCTGGTCTTTTTTCTGTGCTGCTGTAATTTCCAGCACTTGGAGATTAAAGTGTTAGGTAAATGCCTTTGTTTTTTATCTGTTCCTTTTTGTTTAGAGAGTTACTATAATACCACAGACTGTATAAGCACTTGTCATTAATTATATCCTGAATTATTCTCAAGATGCTAGAATATTATCAATGCATCTAACTTACACAAGTGTATTCTTATATCCAAAACTGTCTTATTCTTAGTGTATTAGGGTCATAATGTTGCTAACACATATTCCTGAATGATATATTTATTTTACTGGTATGTGGAAAACGTGGAAACTGACTTGTAGAAACTACATTTATTATTTCAGTGTCAGTTTCAGTTGTTTATTTTGGATATAAGGACATACTGCTGGACATGATGGGTTGTATTAATTTTGCCACACAGCTGTCACACTCATACTTTTGCTCCTAGTTTCTAGTTTACTCATTTACATGATGTTACCTGGTTACTTAAGGACAAAACCCTCCTGCCACCGGCCTTTACAGTCTTCAGTACCCGCCCACCTGCAATTAATATTTACTTCCAGAAATCGGGCTGTGCATTGGAGCAGGCATAATGAACAGAAGAAAGAAACTGTAAAATGTTTATGTTTAGTGTAAGGTTACGGGACAGAGAGAGCTGGGGCAAGCCAGAGCGTTTAGGCCTCTTGTGTGTCTGGGTGTGGGGAGAAGAGAATTCCGAGGAAAGTGCGAAGCATATTTATAATTTATGTTAATAATGTCCGTGGTGATTAAAACCTGCTTTAACACGGCGGTATTATGTGAAAAATATAGATTTTTTTTTTTCATCATTCATGGACGATGGCATCATCTATCGGCCCAACCCTATTTGCTACGTGTTTTGTTATTTTGAGTTGCTTAATAAGTAATTAATCTGCAGTGTATAGGTGTGTGCATGCAAATGTCACTGTAAAAAATTAAAGGGTTTGTTCACAACCTTGTGTTAGCTGAGAGAATAATATAGAGCAATTTTGTGTTGCTAGAAGTGATGCTGCTCATCATGATGCCAGAAGATAAATGATTGCACATGTTAGAGACTCTTTGCTGTGGCTTTTGATGCACAGGGCTACACATGCCATTTTAAATGTGCAGTAAAATATGCAGTAAACAATAAAATGAATTATTGCAAACTACAATGTATCTGTAGTTTAAGTGTGTCTTTAACTCCACCTGCTATGACCTGTAATGGATCCTCAATTAGTTTAACAGGCAAATAATGACCAATATATATAATATATATAATAATATATAGTACAAGTGTTACGCTGTTAACACGTGTCTTAAGAATGTAAAGATGATGAAGTGAAACAGGCGATTTAATTTTAATGTGGTGCTCTTCTAACAACTCTGAGGTCATCTGAGCCATTGGTTTGATCTTTAAACCAAAAATGTGAGTGTTGAATGGTCAAAGGAGTCACTCATTGAATATGTTTTTAGCAATACTTGTGATTTACCCATGTGTCTTTAACATCTTGTTTCCTCAGGCTCTGAGGAGGGATTAATGGTTACGAGGGGAGACTGCTGTGTGATGTGAATTAATACCTTGACGTCACAATGTTGCAGCTGGAGGTGAGTGGTATATGCTGAATTGAATCTTTTTGTTTTGTTTTGCTGACTCTCACTAAGCATGCAAAAGAACGTAAGTTTGCTCTTTTTTTTGTCATTAAAGCAGGCAACCTTTTTTGGCTCTTGACCCCTTATTACGAAGCCTGTTGTCTACTTGTGAACCCTTGTCACAGGTATATGTCTGCTTTTAGTGACCAGTTTGACCAAAATATTTTCCCATTGCTTTAATTATGATTAAGCCTAAAGAGATTAAAGTATTGAGTAAAAATTAAAATATTCTTATTCTATTAATCATCTCACGACCCTGTAGATTTATCTACGCTCAGTGGGGCGGTTAGGGTTACTTAGTGGGTGTCCCGACTCTCAGGTTGGGAACTACTGTATTAAAGCACTCTCCGTATTTTAGCACTTAATGTGCAAACTAAATAAATAAGACAGATCAGGTGGCCGCTTGATTTCTCACTGCAGGTGTGGGAAATGATTTGGCATCCGTCAATGCAGCGAGGGGTGCAATTACTATACCTTTACTCTACACTACATGTATTTATTATTATGGTCCTAAATTATTTCACAATTAGAGAAAACAGTGGAAATCCTCCCAACTAAACAGTACAGAAGAAACAACACATCACAACAACATAAAACAAATTCTACAGACCAAATAAACAGCTTATTACCACTACTGTCCTTATAGTACATTACCCACTTGGTACCAGAAGAAACAGTTCATGAAAAGTTATAATATCCTCACCATACTAATGCTTGGATGGAGTCTCAAAGGGCAAGAGACCCATAATTTGACCATATTACCTGGCTCATGCAAAAAAGTGTCACACTTTCACTTAAAACACTTTATTGGGATGTGTGAAGCTAAGGTTTTCTGCACTGCATTCATGTTCTTTAATCATTGTGTTCTCTCCGTGTCGCCTCAGCTCAGACAGCTCAGCTCTGAATGGAGCCCAGTAGCCGGGGTCTTCCATCCTCTGTGTGTCACACTGCATAAAATCTGGGTTAGCTAAAGCGCAGCACCCAGGGGAGGCGCTTTTCCCTCTCATCCTCGACATGTCTGCCTGCCAAACGGATACGGGGGTGGGGGGGGGGGGGGGGGGGTGAAGAGTCTCTGCACAGTAGTGCAGTGTGTCAGGGCCTCTGGCATATGAGACAACCCTGGCTAGTTTCACCTTTTTTCCCTTTTTTTTTGCAGACACATAGTCAAACACATGCAGAGTCATGGCAGACACACAAGGGAGCTGTGGGTGAGGGTATATAGAACTGCCCAGTCTGGTAAGACACCAACTGTCTTGCTTTGCACTGTCTCTCTTGGCAGATGTGGCTCGTTGGATCAGGCACTAACAGATTCCTCTCTTCCTCAATTGTGGGCACGGGGGAAGCCGAGCAGGAGCAGTTCAGGCACCTGTTGCAGCAGAGAGAGGAGTGTGTACAGCAGACGAGGCGTAATTGAAATTCTTGTTTGCACAATATCCAGTTATTGGTGTTAAAGCCGCTCTTACAGAGCAGCGCACGCAGACAGAATGGAGAGGGGATAAAAACCTAACAAGGATGCTTCACGCTGTGTTGTGGCAGTAAGGCAGGCCCGGCCGTCGGATCCAGATTCCCACCTTCTGTCACCATGCCTTCCCATGAAAGTGATGACACTCGCACTCACAGCACAATTACAAATTTGCACATTTGTTAAATAACTACAAATTTAATGAGAAAGCAGTTTAGTTAATTGTAGATTTAAGTTTTGGTTTAGTCTTAGTTAAATACTAAAAATGTAGTGCCATCTTGTAAAAGCACTAAAAAACTGCATTAATATGTTAAATATTAAGACACAGAACGTGCAGCAGGCAAAAACCAGGATCCTGAAACTGAAGCAGGTTAATGAAATGCACCCATAGTTCATTCATTTTAAGATTTATTATTAGCATTATTTGTGCTTTTCCTACTGTGACATGTCCAGATATGTGCTTATGTGGATCCAGCTTTTTTCCCTGAGGTTTCAACTGCATCTCACAGTCAGTGATGACAGATTCACAAACAAATGGTTCTTTTTGAACGACTCTTAAAGAGATTCGAGTTAGGTTGTTGCTCTCTCAACTCACACTTAAAGATTCTTGTTCTTTCTGGTTTTCATATGTAGCATGAATTAGTTTTTTTGGTTGTTCATTAATTTAGTCTATGCTTTGCTTGGTTCTTAAATAATGTAGCTTAAGGATCAGCATACCTAAAACAGAGCTTTTGGGATGTTTAATAAATGATGAATTAAAGATTCATATTTATTAAATAAATATTAAAATATTAAATTTAAACAATACAGAACCAAAAGAGTCGTTCATGAGTTGGTTTGCTAGGAGCGGGTTAACAAAACAAAGCACTTTACTTAAAAGAACCGCAGCTTATCCTCACCTGTGACCAGAGTTACTTGGATATTCATGGGTTTCAAGGGACTAAAGGTCTCTTACTACTAATAAATGAATCAGCGTAAATTTTAAGTGTATGGATGCAATAAAGCAAAGTTAAATGCAATTGAATTCAAGGCCTTATGAACCCTTAGACTACACTTCATTACGTGCGGCTCTCTTTTTGAGTAAAATGCTCCAGAAGCTCATCACTATGCAGACGTTTCAATCCGGCTCAGATCATTTTTCATATTCTATTTCCAGCTGTGCCACAGTTTCTCCCGCCTGACCCCCTGTTTCGTCGAGAGATTTGAATGTGAAAGGCAAATCAAAATCCCTTTTGTCAAAACAAAAGTGCCCGGAGCAGCCACTGAGGGCTGGATGGGATGGAGAGATTCCCATGGCCTTACTGCCATCCAGCTGACACAGCCTGCTGCCTCTGATTTTTACAGTAAGTGTTCTCAAAATACCTAGTGTTTGTTTTAAACCTCTGCATTAGAGATGGATTGTGCGCTCTGAGCTGTTTAATATGGTGGTTTGTAAAGGGGGGGATCTAGTTTGCATATTCTGAATTGTTTTCATCCCCACCACAAGTAGTTAATTTTTAAGCAATACAATCTGATGTAAGTCTGGGCATGGCTGCGGCAGATTTTCCCAACCCCCCTCTCTCAATCCCTCCCCAGCTCACACACACACACACACACACACACACACACACACACACACACGCACACAACCCTGCTGCTGCTCCAAAATACTTTTTTATACAACGGTGGGGGCTCGGGAGAATATAAGGTGGCCATATTTGATAGATTTGTGTCGGGCTCTGCAATGCAGAAAGCGAGAGTTTGTTGCGTGTGATCTTGCAAGTGACAGTGACACCAGGCGAGTGAGTCGGGTTCGTGACTGATCCGGACTTGGAGAGAGAGAGAGAGGAGAGAGAGGAGGGTTGGGGGGGCAGACAGAAAAAAAACAAACAAGTAACAATGTAACTTACATGCAGTCACACACCCCTTTTTTCTTGTAACAATGTGTACGTTTTAAGGAGGGAGGGGGCGCGCAGAGGGAGAAAGCGAGCCGGGGAGAGATAGAGAAAGGAGGAGGGGGGTGCGTTCTGAAATAATATAGTCAGCCATTTTTTATGTAAGGGGATTTTTTCTTATTGGGGGGGTTGTTAAAAAATAAATATAAGAGGGCGGCCATCTTTGTTGCTCTGCCTAGTGTAAAATATTTCAAAACGCCCCCCACTTTTTTCTGTGCCGATTTGAATATTAAATAAATATCATACATTCGGGCAAGAATACGCTTTTTTGAATACAAGGACGGATCCAATGACAGGGATATAATGTCCTCTCCTCTCCGGTCCTGTGAGGAAGACGAGGGCATGGTGGTTAATTCCGAGGGAGGAGATTTTGATGAAGAAGACGACGACGGAGACCTAGACGAGAACGCAAGCGACATAAACTCGCCGGCGGCGCTTCGGGAAACTGCAACACCAGCCGCGCCAGGTACAGTAAAGAAAAACTGGCGGACAAAGTCGGGAGCGCGCGCACGAAATAACAAAAAAACTTCATATAGGAGTGGAATTTGGGAGAAAGGGCATGTGGGAAGTAAGCCGAAAGGCGCCGTTTGCGACCCAGATTTGTGCTTCCCCAGGTCCAGTACGGTACAGTAGAGACCAGCGAGGATTCGTGCGCGCGCATACAAAATAGAAACATACTTGTCCAGATTTTTTTTAAATAAAGAGGCACATGTTTCACCACCTAAAACCGCTATATATCCCCCTGTGCGTGCACCGATATGTTGCTGTAGGTGCCATACTTGCAGCTGGCTGTAAAAAAAGACAAGAGAGCGCGCTTTGAAAACAAACACAACTCCTCTCCAGCTTGCAACAAGACGATAAAATAAAAACACACCGCCGACCAGATGTGTCTCTGTGTTGTTGCTGTTGTTGTTGTGGGTTATGTGCTCATGTTCTCCCACTCTGCTTCCCCTCCACCTCCAGCTCATCCAAACAAAGTTTAAACTAACTTGCCGCAGCTGCTTTTCGTAGCAAGCTCACTTTCTCCACCATCAAAACTTGCTGCTTGTTTGTCCCTTAAATCCGCTCTGACAGCTCCTAGACACGCATGCCATGTAAATGAGCTCGGTCTGCAGGGTGATAATGTCGCCCTGAAGGGTAAAGAAAGCTCACGATAAGAAAGGCTGGCAAAAACATGGACTCCTCCTGGCCGGAGGCTATATATCTGATTCCCATCTCAGGAGGAGGTGATGCGGGTTTTTTGCTGTGCACACATGAAAGCTGGGCGATATTGTCAAACCGTGGTGCAAACTTGCCCCCCTACACCATTGTCTCCCTGACGGGTCAAAATAGGACACAGCTGCTGCGTGCAGCTCACTCACAGGCCAGAAAGGTGTGACTGTTTAGCTGCCCCTGGTAGCTTAGCATACCAATTAGCTGAATAACATCTATATTAAATCTGTATTCAAGTATTGTCACGCAACAGAGGAGATTGTGTTTTTACTTTTTCGCTGCAGGAGTTGCTCCTCTCAGCAGCAATATCCAGTAGGCCTATTGATCTTGTCAAAATGATGATTGACTGAATGCACATGACATTCTGGAAGTCTCTGTGACAGTGGAGCTGCGTGGGGTTGCAGTGAAAGTAAAGGTTGCAGAAAGTGGTGGTTGGTTAACCACACTGCAACAGTAGAAGTCAAAAAATGGCAGTGCAGCAGCCTTGAGGTTGCAGTTTATTCATGAAAGGAATAGGCTGTAATAACTAGTAATAAATTAGTTTGGATGCAATGCAGATGTGTAAGAGAAAAACTTAAAGGTCACAGTGCATATCTGTCAAGGGAGAAAATATGAGATTGCTCCAGGTAAAGGGGACACAAGTGTAATTTTCTATATGAATATTAGCCTACAGGAGGCATTGTCTTTAGACCTAATTAGCTCGACTCCAGACATGCCGCCATACCGTGCCAGACAGATACATTAGTGTCAGGCTTGTCGATAAGGACTTAACCCCCCCCCCCACGACCTCTAGCAGCGGAGGTCGGGGTCCCGGTGTGGGAACTGTACAGCGGAGAGGAAGAGTCGTTCCAGTTGACCGCACCGTCCCGCTGGCGGCCTCCGAATCACCGAGCCCTGCGTGTGTGCTGCCGCCGCCCACGGCGTGTCTTCGGCGGCTGCGCGCTACAAGGATGCACGGGAAGCGGGGTTCGCTGTTCAGGCGGGGGGGGGCTGCTGGGGCTGCTGCTGATGGGAGCGCTCACCAACAAAGGCAGTCAGACAATAAAATCCGACAAAATGTAGCCTGTCAAACGGGCTGGTTTCACGGGGGGGACCGCAGCCCATATTTTGGTTCTGCTTTAATGCTTTGCTGCGTTTTGCCTTTTGAAGCTGAGGCTGCTGCTGTTTCTCTGTCTTTATGCGTTTCTCCTTTTTCTACTCCAAGCCAGGTCAGATTGCAGGTTAAATTGCTTCCCCTGTGGTTGTGATATTGCACAGTTACTATGGGGAATAAATGGCCTGATGATATGTTGACATCATTTGGTCCCTGAAAGCCGAGATCCAGTCATGTATTTTAGATGCACTGTGGCTGAAAGTCTCAAAATATAAGAGGGAGGTTTTCAAGAGTCTGTATTCCCTTAAGTCAAAAGTTTTTTAAAATATAACGTCAGACGTTTCAATTCTGTTTTTATCCGTGGGGACTTATAGATGTTTTATAACCCAAAATAAAAACACCAGTGAAAGTTTGTTTACAAAGGTGCCGGTCACACTATTACATCACCATAAACCAATTATCCCTGTGCTATGAAAACACCAACACCAGCTGTCAAATCTACTTACAGCCCTTCTGACAAACTGTATCTAATTTAGCATGTGTTACAATTCAGAAAAGGTCAGAGGTTGCTGAAGCCACCATCATGCAGCTTTTGTTCAGTGGGGATTAGCCGGTGTTTGGAAGCGTTTGAGGAGATTATTGTTCATCTGATTCTGATAGCTGTCGTTGTTTCACTCTTCAGTTTCTCCTCTGCTTTTCCTCGTAGATGAAGAGGCAGAGATATCAGACAGAGAGGTCCCGTGCAGGAAGAAAGGGCGGCCGAAGAAAAAGAAGGACACAAAGAAGAAAGACAAAGAGGGGAAACCCGTCAAAGCAAAAAAACGCAAGAAGATTGTAAGTTTGTTAAGCTGTCGTGCTTTGGATTTTACTTTTACTTTCCTGACTATGTCACCATCGTTATTTTTTCCTCTCCAGGACAGCGATTTAGAGAGAGACTCAGAAAGAGAAAGAGACTACGGTGAGAACTCAGACAGCGTAGCCAGCGACTATGGATCAGGAGAGAAAAAGAAAAAGAAGAAACATAAAGAAAGGAAAGAGAAGAAAACCAAGAAGAAGAAAAAAGACGACGGGGACCGAGACAGCAGTCAGGAGGAAACAACAAAGGTAAAGCACCAAAGTCATTTTAGACAAATCCTCGCTTTTTTGATCCATTATCTTTCGGTTCTGATTGGTGCTTTCTCCCCAGCAACCAATAGAGCAGAAGACGTCGGCACAGCTGGCAAAGGAGTGGGGTCTGGAGGATGTTGATCATACCTTCACAGAGGAGGACTACAGGGAACTCACCAACTACAAAGCCTTCAGCCAGTTTATGAGGTACAATATTTCGCACGGTGTTGATGTGGACTGCTGGCTGCGGCTGTTGGGAAAATCAAGAAATTCCAAACATCACATACATATACAGTGTTGTTGAGTTTTGCAGCAAGTGCTGTTTGCAAGGTGATGGAGTTAAAGCAATGTTGTATTTAATCTCACATCCCGTTCTTACTTTCAAAAGAGCATGTTTGTGTTTAAGTGCCACTTTTTAGATAACAGGATGTGGAGTTTAAATGTCACACATTATCTGGTTTTCACAGTTTTCATAATTTGATTGAGAAACATGCTGTCGCTCAGAACAGGACTAAGTCACTGAGCTGCAAACATGAGTCTCTCTGTTGAAATCGCTGTAGTCCCACAGAACTGTCCATAATGACATATGAGACAACCTTCTCCACGGTTCCTACATGTTCTTCTGTGCATTGGGTGTAAGATTAATGTCAATACCAACTCACAAAACAACCCCAGTTTGGAGAGGCAGCTCATTCACGGTTCTACTTTAAAGCTCTGCCTGTTGAATGCATCATAAACAGCTTTATACGAGGACATTTGACTCTGGTTTTCAGTTGCTCTCAATGTACAGGAAGACATATAGCTAAAAACAAGACACAGGACAACAAAGCTGAACAAAGATAGTTAAACATAAACATAGAACTGTTATGGACATACAAGTATGTGAAAAATTAGATGCATGTATAAATAGATTTAAAAAGAAACTATTAACAACAAAATACAACATCTATATACAAGTGAACCTGTTTCTATACATTTTAAGTAAGAATACAATAGTGCAAATGTACTGTTACAGTACACAGAAAAACAATTATAATGGCTATTTTTTGTGTAAAGTTTCGAGCCTCTCCTTGTCACACGGACCAGACTCCCTCTGCGCTGGCAGCACCATTCAATAAAAACTGTCCATGGTGAAACTACCAGCAGCATATGAACGCAGATCCATGTGGCGTGGGTTAAAAACAAGAGCACAAGTACAATTACCTCCCTCTGTCTTCCTCTGGCAGCTGTGTCTTTATCATGGCAGCTAGTTGTGCTTTTCAGGCAGCAGTGCTGTCAGGGTGTCAGTGGCAGCCTGAGCGTCGGCCTCTGTGGCTGACTCATACCTGCATCGTCTCTTATAACATGAAGTAATGAATAACGTCTGTTCCATGTATACGTTGGGAAGTTATATGGCTGTTTCTACTCCACTGTCAGACTGAGCTGTAGTGTCAAACTGAACTCCCTGTAGTTCTTTCACCAAATGACTACAGTTATGTCAATCACTTTTGCAAATACAGATTTTATATACAAACCATTCGTGTGACTCATTCATATAAATATAAATGACAGTCAGCTAGAATGAAAACATTATTAGTTAACAAAGCATTTTTAAATGATCCCTGACCTCTCGCCCCCAGGCCGATGATAGCCAAGAAGAATCCTAAGATCCCCATGTCAAAGATGATGACCATCCTGGGGGCCAAGTGGAGGGAGTTCAGCTCTAACAACCCCTTCAAGGGCAATGCCGCTGCTGTCGCGGCAGCCGCTGCAGCTGCCGCGATTGCTGTCGCCGAGCAGGTCTCCGCAGTGACCGCCTCGCCTGAGCCCCAGCCGCAGCCGCCACCGATCAGAAAGGCCAAGACGAAAGAGGGAAAAGGTCAGTTGTTGGCTTTAGACCTGCCGCCTGCCTGCCTGTCCCTCTACCACTTTACCTTTTGTCAGTTTTGACTTTTATTGGGATGTGGGAAAATAGTTTCCAGTAAACACTGACCCTAGACCATCAGGACGGTGTGCAGTTTTAAAGGCACATGACATAACAGCAGTAATCATCCTTAACACATGCTGATTTCTCGTAAACAGCTGTTTTTTGCTCACATTGTGTTTTACATGCTAATACCAGATGTTCAGACTGCAGGCCTTAATGCTCAATTGCGATTTTTTTGTTTGACAGTTCAAAATATTGCTTAAATAAGGCTCATATCAGACTTCAGTGTGAACTGTCCACGGCCTGAAAGCCATGTGCAGAAGAATAACACTACGTCACACGCAGCACGCTGTCGTGCAGCAGTAAACAGAGCAACAGAGGTGAGCTCCGGTTAGCTCATACTTACTAACCTCCCAATTTTCTGAGGAGACTCCCGTGTTTCACTGTCCTCTCACGGTCACATTTCTCCCAAATTATGACAAGTGTTCACAACTTTCTGTTCTTTTCATTACGGTTTCTGACGCTGTACAACGCAACTGCCCGACTCCCTTCCTCCCTCTCTCCACTGTGTCCGCACGGACAAGCAGCATGTGCGTAACTCAGAGCTCGCAGTCCAGTGGATTTCAGGTGGTAAGAAAGGGGAATCTGTGAGCAGATGATAGCAAGGTAGAGAAGAAATAGAGCCACATGTTTAATTATGGCTTTTGTGGAGCTTTTTCGTTCATCACGGCTTCGTCTACAGCAGAACTGTGACAACAGCTGCGCTAGAGTGACGTCAAAGTCGCATCAATTCCGACCTGAATGTCCAGACTCAGGTCGCATTTAAAAAGATCTTTTTCGGATTTGGACCACATATGAAAGTGGCCCAAATCCATACTGGAAAAGATCAGACTTGGCATGTTCACACTGTTATAAAAAGATCAGATCGGAGTCACATTTGAGCAAATAAAATCGGATTTGGGTCACTTTGGCCTGCAGTCTGAACGTAGCCTAAGTGTACCATGTGTCACAAACATCTTATATACTTTTGCTCCTTTGCTAATACAGTATACACACTACTTTGTCATTCTTTTGTGTTAAATGTTGCATATCTGTCCAGGCCCTGGCTATAAGAAGCGTAGTAAAAGTCCTCGAGTTTCAGACAAGAAAAGGGCTGCAGCAAAGGCTAAAAAGATGGCTCCCATTCGTATTAAACTAGCGCCTATAGGTGCCAAGAGGAAGAAGAGTTGTTCAGTGAGTACAAATCTTCCTGTTTCTGTTACCAGTTTACCGCCTTTTGTCTTTCTTTCTTTCACTCACTTCCTTGACTCTCCCTTGCTCTCTGTCAGAGCGAGGATATGGATGAGGACGACTCCGAGCAGGAGGACTCCAGCGTTCACAGCTCGTCAGTTCGCTCCGACAGCTCGGGCCGTGTCAAGAAGAACAAACGAGGACGGCCTGCCAAGAAGAAGAAGAAAAGTGAGCACAACCTGCCTGCCATATGTAGAGTATATAATTATACATGATATAGAGTCTAGCATGTCCACATCTATCTTAAGACTCCTCTGATTTTAAACTAAAAAACAGAACGTTCTTGTCATATTTCAGACACTGATACAATATTATGATAGGTTAATTGGTGTAATTTATACGTTTTCAGTCAGATTTATTTAGAATGAAAAACAGAAAAACACATTCTCAGACAATTCTGTCTTTCTACCCGTGTTGTCTGGCACCCTCCAGTTCCAGGCGAAGAGGAAGGGGACGGCTATGAGACTGACCATCAGGACTACTGCGAGGTGTGTCAGCAGGGTGGAGAGATCATCCTGTGTGACACCTGTCCTCGAGCTTACCACCTTGTCTGCCTTGAGCCCGAGCTTGACAAAGCCCCTGAGGGCAAGTGGAGCTGTCCGCACTGCGTGAGTACAGACACACAAGAGCGCGTCTGCTCCTGCTTTCAATGTACGAGTTAGCTTAGCATCCTTATTCGCTTGTTCATCTCCAACATTATGTGATTAACTCAATTTATACAGTTTATTGTGATAGCTTTTTGTGTGTTGAAAAATGAGCCAATCACAGTGAAACCTGGGACAGTCTGTGTGTTGTTCTATGTTGCTTTTCAGGCCTTTGTTGTTAGTGTCCCCAGGATGACTCGTGAATAAAGCGTGGACTGCACAGATGTTTGGTGGAGTGTGCATGTGCTGGCAAAATACTTACTGGATAGTTTTGACAGAGAAAACTGACAAAACAATGAAATTGTAGTCCAGATCCTTGTGATATTGATCCTTTTTGATTTATAGATGTAAACCTGCAACCAGCCAGCCGTCACCAGTTGTTGCAGTTGTTATGATTCAATATCTTCAGTTTTGATTTGCAACATGAGATGATTTCCCCTGTCACCCATTTTGAACATTTCACTAATCAAGAAGCTCAATAAATGACTCACAACTGCCCTTTATTTTGCACAAAGGAAAAGTCCAATATTTCCTTTCCTCCATACTTTCAGCTTTCTATTCCCTCACTAGCTGATGTCAGGTTTAGAATTTAACTGCTTGTCAGGACAACTTAGGTTATTCACATCAGATTTGTTCACTGTTAACTGAGGTGGCAATGTTGTTGCCAAATGTACCGTTAAACTTGAATTAATAGCCCGGGCTTTTATTTGCTTAAATCACTGAACTCACCCTGCCTATATTTGGGACAGGCCTTTAATTCCTTTACCATCTGAATGAATAATACTTTGGTGCTCGTTGTTTCTGTTAAATGAACTGACCGATTGAATTGTGGTGAATCTAACCGCTGTAACGATGTGTAGCATGTCCATATTGACAAAGGTTTAAACATTTGTATGTGCGATCTAAGCAGCTTAGAAGTAGCTCAAGCAGGTGACCAGGTGGGCTTAAGAGTTTTTATACATACAAAGAACTTTAATAAAAACCAGACCAGGCTTCTAATTGAGACCTGCCTTCATTTGTCAAAACGTGTAGCCACAGCAGGCCAGTGAAAGGGACAGACATCTGATTGGGACTGGGCTTTTAATTTCTGTTTTATTGGGACATGCGGACTAGGTTGATTGATGACCCTAAATTGTCCTTAGGTGTGAGCGTGAGTGGTTGTTTGTCTATGTGTGGCCCTGCGATGGACTGGCGACCTGTCCAGAGTGTACCCCGCCTTGCGCCCAATGTCAGCTGGGATTGGCTCCAGCCCCCCGGCGACCCTGTGTAGGATAAGCGATGGTCTACTCGGTGGTGTGGTGGTGCAATGGTTGTGTGACCCTGTATGCAGGATAAGTGGTTGACAATGGATGTACTCATAAATATGCTTTGGTTTGCAGAATATGCTTAATCACCTGACATCTCCCTCCACCGCAAAAGTCTTATGTAAATCAGGAAGCTGTGATTCTGTTAATTCTGTCACAAAAACAATGAAAGTTTCATTAATTTGAGATGTCAGTCAGTCAATGAGATGTCTCTTTTTGTTCATCCTTTCCCAGGAAAAAGAGGGAATCCAGTGGGAAGCAAAGGACGAGGACTTTGAGGATTTCGAGGAGGACAGCGAGGACAGAGTGATATCAGAGGTCAGTGCAGGGGTCGCCACCGGGGCGGAGGAGGAGGATGACGACCACATGGAGTTTTGCCGGGTGTGTAAAGATGGAGGTGAGCTGTTGTGCTGCGACACCTGCACCTCCTCCTACCACATCCACTGTCTAAACCCGCCGCTGCCTGAGATCCCCAACGGAGAGTGGCTCTGTCCACGATGCACGGTGAGCTGCTCCTGTTTTATTTCATTGCTGTTTATATCTGATTCAGGACTCCGTGTGCGATCTCCATCTAGTTTAATTGTTAGGATTATGAGTCACTTCTTGATATATGATGGAAGTAGACACATGTGAAATGACGCGAACGTACAGACAAAACAGCTGTTGTTTGTTATTATAAAGATAGCAATTATAAAGACAAAGAATATGAATGAAAGAATGGATTAGCACACGCAGGTAGTAGGGATTGTTCGAGATACAGAGAGAGCTGTAGGTGAGTAAAAAGTGTTGTGCGGTGAAAAAGTAGCTGCCTGCTCTCATTGGCTGGATGTGGATGTCGAGTCGGCCGGCTGGCTGGCAGGTGTCGGCGATGTGTCAGAAATGTGTCGGGTAGCCGTTTTGATGCGTCGTTGAGTAGTTCACACATAACGACTAGCGACCGCTGATCGACTGCTGATTTACTCCCGATCACAGCCGAGCTCGCCCAGCGGCAAATCGGGTTTAAAATCATGTAATGTGAACTAGCCTTTAGGGGTGCTAAGCTTCCCCTGGCTCCCCCGTAATTCGCACTCTGGGCAGAAGTCTCTCAAATCGTTTATCAGACAACCTGTTCCTCCTCAGAGTCAGCACAAGACTGTTACTTTGTAACCCCAACACTAATTAGGGTAACATGGGGTAAGACATAAACATGTAATGTCACAGCTATTTTTTCTCAACATTTCTTCTGGCTGCGTCTAGTCTCACTGAAGTAAAAATTTCCTCTGTTTCATCACAATTATTTAAATTATTTGATCAAAGCCATTCTGATCTAATTTGATCAAATTTTTTTGTCAGTAAAAATAAGCTGTCCATTTTTTTTATTGTGTTCTATCTATATATATATATATATAGGGGAGCCTTAAGATAAGTTATGCAATTATTTAGAGTGAAAGATTTTTATAGTTTTTGGTTAAAGTAGTATTAGTGTTTGGGGTAAGAAGATTTACATTTGATTCAATTCAAATAAATTTCTCAACTGTAGGTATTATTTTACTTTATATTATGTTACCCTAAGCATGGCCATCTCCAAGATACAAAAAAAACTATAAAATATTATTTTATGTGTCAGCAAATAGACACTGAACTTAGGGGTCTTACCCCACTCTACCCTACCAGTTAGTGCCTTTAAACACATTTTTTTAGCTTATTGCACTAATCTGATTTATTTAAAGTGAGGTATTTGAGAGAAAACCAGTAAAGGTAGGGATTAGAGAAACTCCCCCAGCTAGATGTCTCCTTGAAAAAGACAATTTCATGGCCATGTATACAGGTCACCGGGTCTCTATTCAGCTGCACACTGCTGTGAAAGACAAAACACCTAGTAGTGAATGCTTGTATTCAAACATACTTTAATTCAGTGTCTTACTAAAATGATAATTGACACTAATGTCTAAATGTCTGAAGTCTAAATAATTCCTCAGCTAAACAATTACATTTAGACACATTTGTGTTAAAAAGTCAAACTTTCCTCTCACTGTGCTGTCAGTCTAAATGCTCTGACACACCCAAACAAAATATCAAGAGGCAACATCTTGTATCGATAATACACTTAGAATAAGTAAGCTATTGTTGAAACATAACACTTGGCTGTTGTGCTTCTCCCAGTAACCTGGTTTCTTAGTTCTTGTTACATTAGAAAAAATACAGTTTCAGGATCAGTACACACTTCCAAGCCAGGCTCAGAACAATGGTACATGACAAACAAATTTTGTGTACATGGGGAATTATGAAAAGACATATCAAAACATTAGAAACATTGAAAATATATCAAAGAATAAAGAAGTTATTCTCACAAAGCTGTTACCTGGATAGTCACATATCTGAGAAGGCAATTTCAACCTTTCTTTCAAGACTAAACATACAGTAAATAATCACTGAAGCTTTTCTCATTCACTTAATAAGTGAAGCAAAATTCTCTCGATGTAGATAACAAAGCTCAACTTTTTATGTTACATGGAACTTCCATATCTGGCTCACTGTTTCCAGGATTGATGATTATGCGTGTTCTCCCTCCAGTGTCCACCAATCAAGGGACGTGTTCAGAAGATCCTTCACTGGCGATGGGGTGAACCTCCGCCTTCCATCCCCGTTCCCCCAGCTCCTGACGCCCCACCTGACGCCCCCCTGCCGCCACCCATGAAGGGCAGAGCCGAGAGGGAGTTCTTTGTCAAGTTGACCGGGCAGTCCTACTGGCACTGTACCTGGATCACCGAGCTACAGGTGAGAGGGAGAAGATCAGTGGGGGGATGGATGTAAAGTGACACTAGAGCTAGTTAAAAACCTTTAAATAAATCAATCCAAGAAGGAAATTACAGCTCATGTTGACATAAATGCTTTATTTATTTTATTTTATTTTATTTTAGTGGGTCACAAGCCAAAAATGTTGGAAACAACTGATCCTGTGCTTCCTCACTTGGCAAATAACTTTATTCATGGAAATATACAGTATTTCAGCCATTAGATCTTATATTTACTCACAGATACACATTTTAAAACACTAGAGAGAAATCTGAGGTCACCCAAAAGAATAAAGAGTAAAGAGCAGTTCTTATGACCGGCAAGCAAGAGTTGCTCAAAATCTTGGCAAAAAATTCAGTTTACCTCTAATAAATGCTTCTGACCAACTTCAAGAAAAATAATATTCCCTCCCTCTTCCTCCTCCTCCTTACTTCCAGCTGGAGATCTTCCACTCGGTGATGTACAGAAACTACCAGAGGAAGACGGACATGGACGAGCCTCCCAGCCTGGATTACGGGTCGGGCGGGGAGGACGAGAACGGCGTGGGAAAGAGCGAGAAGAGGAGGGCCAAGGACCCCCAGTACGCCATCATGGAAGAAAAGTACTACAGATATGGCATCAAGTCTGAGTGGATGATGATCCACCGCATTATCAACCACAGGTGAGGGTGTTTGTTTGCGACAGTATCTGGTCTTCTGTGTGTGTCAAACATTATTTCATTACTTAACTTAAGTACTTTAACATGTTAGCGCACTTAAAGGTCCAGTGTGTAATATTTAGGAGGATCTGTTGACGGAAATGTAATATAATATCCATAACTATGTTTTCAGTGGTGTTTAAAGACCTTACATAATGAACCGTTATGTTTTTATTATCTTAGAATGAGCCATTTATATCTACATACACCTCTTATATGGACGCCGCCATGTTTCTACAGTAGGCCGAATGGACACTTTCGTCACTACATTGAATACGTACAAAGAAGAAGAAGAAAAACAACAAGAAACATTAGTAGTATTAGTAGTAGTCGAGAAGTATTATTTAGCACAAGAGTCGACAGAGCGTGTCGGCCACCGTCGTGTCATGCGGAATAATCTGAATCTTTTTTTCCTCCTCAAAACTTTATTGCAAAAAGAGAAATAAAGTGTACTTGGGACATAAAGAAGTATACAGAACTTTAATTCGTGCAAAAGCACGTATTGCATATACATACACTGCTTAAAAAATAAAGGGAACACTTAAACAACACAATGTCACTCCAAGTCAATCACACTCCTGTGAAATCAAACTGTCCACTTAGGAAGCAACACTGATTGACAATCAATTTCACATGCTGTTGTGCAAATGGAGGTGGAAATTATAGGCAATTAGCAAGTCACCCCCAATATGCAGGTGGTGACCACAGACCACTTCTCAGTTCCTGTGCTTCCTGATATTTTGGTCACTTTTGAATGCTGGCGGTGCTTTCGCTCTAGTGGTAGCATGAGACGGAGTCTACAACCCACACAAGTGGCTCAGGTAGTGCAGCTCATCCAGGATGGCACATCAATGCGAGCTGTGGCAAGAAGGTTTGCTGTGTCTGTCAGCGTAGTGTCCAGAGCATGGAGGCGCTACCAGGAGACAGGCCAGTACATCAGGAGACATGGAGGAGGCCGTAGGAGGGCAACAACCCAGCAGCAGTACCGCTACCTCCATCTTTGTGCAAGGAGGAGCAGGAGGAGCACTGCCAGAGCCCTGCAAAATGACCTCCAGCAGGCCACAAATGTGCATGTGTCTGCTCAAACGGTCAGAAACAGACGGTGGTATGGAGGGTCACAGGAGGTTGTACTTACAGCCCAACACCGTGCAGAATGTTTGGCATTTGCCAGAGAACACCAAGATTGGCAAATTTGCCACTGGCGCCCTGTGCTCTTCACAGATGAAAGCAGGTTCACACTGAGAACGTGACAGACGTGACAGAGTCTGGAGACGCCGTGGAGAACGTTCTGCTGCCTGCAACATTCTCCAGCATGACCGGTTTGGCGGTGGGTCAGTAATGGTGTGGGGTGGCATTTCTTTGGGGGGCCGCACAGCCCTCCATGTGCTCGCCAGAGGTAGCCTGACTGCCATTAGGTACCGAGATCAGATCCTCAGACCCCTTGTGAGAACATATGCTGGTGCGGTTGGCCCTGGGTTCCTCCTAATGCAACACAGTGCTAGACCTCATGTGGCTGGAGTGTGTCAGCAGTTCCTGCAAGAGGAAGGCATTGATGCTATGAACTGGCCCGCCCGTTCCCCAGACCTGAATCCAATTGAGCACATCTGGGACATCATGTCTCGCTCCATCCACCAATGCCACGTTGCACCACAGACTGTCCAGGAGTTGGTGGATGCTATAGTCCAGGTCTGGGAGGAGATCCCTCAGGAGACCATCCGCCACCTCATCAGGAGCATGCCCAGGCATTGTAGGGAGGTCATACAGGCACGTGGAGGCCACACACACTACTGAGCCTCATTTTGACTTGTTTTAAGGACATTACATCAAAGTTGGATCGGCCTGTAGTGTGGTTTTCCACTTTGATTTTGAGTGTGACTCCAAATCCAGACCTCCATGGGTTGATAAATTTGATTTCCATTGATAATTTTTGTGTGATTTTGTTGTAAGCACATTCAACTATGTAAAGAAAAGAGTATTTAATGAGATTATTTCATTCATTCAGATCTAGGATGTGTTATTTTAGTTTTCCCTTTATTTTTTTGAGCAGTGTATTTTGCAAACATGTAATTTGTAATATGGTTATAACGGTTAGTTTGCTGTCCATGTAGAGAGAACTAGATGTCTATTTGTTGTTTATATGCTCTGATAAGGCTAATCCAACACATCTTTCTAGTAAAGTCCATGTTGATTCCACATTCTGACTTAAGAACACTTAAACACACTGAAGTCTGAACGACTTCACAACTCGGGAAATGGGACCATCTGAGGAGGATGTGAATGCACTGTGAGCCGCTAGTTGCAATTCGCAACCATCACCTCTAGATGCTACTAAAACTTACACACTGAAACTTTAATTTCTTCAGAACATGCTGAGCAATACGGCTTCAGTTACAGAGTGTCACTGATTTATATTGCATTCCAGTTTCAGCCAATGTGATTTATTTAGATCTATAGACATATGCCAATAACAACTTTTCAGTTAGCAGGATCTTGTTTTTGGTCTGTTGAAGTAAAACAAAGAGCTGCTACATTGTGTGTGTGTGTGTCCCTGCCAGCGTGGATAAGAAGGGGGCGTACCACTACCTGGTCAAATGGAGAGACCTGACCTATGACCAGTGTACCTGGGAGAGGGATGACCTGGACATCCCCGACTTTGCAATGTACAAGGGCAATTACTGGAGACACAGGTAGGGCTGCTCACATTTACATATCTCCTTTGTCTCTTGCCCGGCCGATTCGTGTATTTACTCAGTGTTAACTTGCCGTCCAACAGAGACACGATAATGAAGGAGGACCCAGACAAACCCAGGAGGATGAGAAGCAAGAGCCAGGAGGATGAAGAGGAGTCTCCTGCCTCACCAGTTACAGATGTGAGTTAACTGTAGCTTCAGTTTCAGTATAATGACGTCTAAAGCTGCAGAAGAATGTTTAATGAATGTTTGTCTTGTAGAACAAAACTAATATGATTACCTTAAACTGACTCTGTCTCATACTCTAATGTTGTTATTAATACTTCTCATACGGGTTCATACAACTAACTGTGTCCTTAGGTTTTTTAGATCTCACCTCTTTGTTCTCTTCTTGTGTTATCCCAGCCTACGATAAAATATGAGGAACAGCCAGACTTTGTCACAACGACGGGTGGGACACTGCACCTGTACCAGCTGGAGGGTCTGAACTGGCTTCGGTTTTCCTGGGCTCAGGGCACAGACACCATCTTGGCAGATGAGATGGGCCTGGGCAAGACCATCCAGACCATCGTTTTCCTTTACTCACTCTTCAAAGAGGTACAGGAGAACGTTGGTACTGTTTTTATCTTCTTTCACCTACTTGTGACGGCCGACGCTGAGAGATTGTGTGAATTCTTCCTACGCATCTCCCCCTCAGGGTCACACTAAGGGTCCGTTCCTGGTCAGTGCGCCGCTCTCCACCATCATCAACTGGGAGAGGGAGTTTGAGATGTGGGCACCAGACTTCTATGTGGTGACGTACACAGGAGACAAGGACAGCCGAGCCATCATCAGAGAGAACGAGTTCTCCTTCGACGACACGGCTGTCAAAGGAGGGAAGAAGGCTTTCAAACTGAAGGTGAGGAGGGAGAGTGAAAAACCAAATTAGATATTAGGATGGCAGAAGACAGAGCAAACAGGAGGATGATAAGGACAATAGGTGTGTGTGTTATCTAGGGCTGGCGATAATTTAATACCAATTTTAGTGGAATCGTTTTTGTAATTTTTTTGTTCATGTCATATTATTCTGTGTATAAATTATTAATGATTCCTGGCAAAACTCAACAGTAACAGAATTAGTTGAATTTACATACATGACGAGTTTAATCTGATGTAGTCCAGTGTAACACCATGAAAACCATTAAAAAATTTGCCTTAATGTTAATATTGGAAAAATAGTCTTAGTGACATTGTGATATATACTGCCCTAATGTTTTCCTCACCTCCTACAGAAGCAGATAGAGACATGAAGAATAAAACAAGATTCTTCTTCTGACCGCTTCTTTACTTTTTGCCAAATTTAATCTCGTTACCATAGCATCAAACATTATCATAAGCATAACAATAACAACATCTATATCACAACATGAAAAAACAAATAATGAAATGAATAACCCTTTACGTAATATAACATCCAATCCCTTCCTCTTTTCTCTTCATTCCCCTTCATTCTTCTTGCAGAGAGAAGCTCCCATCAAATTCCACGTGCTGCTGACCTCCTACGAGTTGGTGACCATCGACCAGACGGCGCTCAAGTCCATAGACTGGGCGTGTCTGGTGGTGGACGAGGCTCACCGCCTTAAGAACAACCAGTCCAAGGTATTGTAGCTAGTTTCTGTGTATGTGTGTGTGTGTGTGTGTGTGTGTCAATGTAAATATGTAACTGAAGGCCAATTGGTATTGTATTTTTGACGGATACCAATAGTGATACTTGAGAGAAAGTGAGAAATCCCACTATATAATTTAATACATTACATTTTTGATAATTTGGTTTTAAAGTATTTTGACAAAAATATATTCTAAGTGGGACATTTTACAGTTGAAATAAAATTTATCAGCACTCTCTGGTGGACAAACTATGTAATGGCACAATAAACACTTTTTATCTTTTTACATACATATTTTAGGTATTTTCCTTCTGCATATTCTTTGTTACTCTCTACTCAGCATCAGTACTGCCTTTCAAGGAGTTCAACACACCCTGGATTTCTTTTCGTTGTCTGGCTTCACTAACCCTAACAATCGTGATCAGCATAAGCAGTCACACAACACTGGTTGCCGAATCAGTTATGTGATTTTACATATAAATGTATATACATAGAAGTTATTTTAACATGTATGACAGGGAGTTAAACCTTACTTGTGTTCTCAGTTTTTCAGGCGTCTAAACGACTATAAGATCGACCACAAGCTGCTGCTGACAGGAACTCCTCTACAGAACAACCTGGAGGAGCTGTTTCACCTGCTCAACTTCCTCACACCCAACCGCTTCAAGTAAGATTTCTCACACATATATACACACACAAAAGTCTATAAAATCATTTTTTTCCCCCTCGCCAAGTTTGGTAAACTTAAAACAGTTACATGTCAAGAGTTTTGTTGCTGGGCAAAATAATATATGTGTATTTTTCTATACTGCATACCCATTTTTCCTTTTTCAAGAACTTGTTATCACCGGTATAATCGCATTAGGTTATCCGCTAAAGACATTTTTACCAGACCTTCACCCAGTCCATCTCTGTGTTCAGTAACCTTGAGGGCTTCCTGGAAGAGTTTGCCGACATCTCCAAGGAGGACCAGATCAAGAAGCTCCATGACCTGCTGGGGCCTCACATGCTGCGGAGGCTGAAGGCCGACGTCTTCAAGAACATGCCCGCCAAGACCGAACTGATTGTCAGAGTGGAGCTGAGTCCTATGCAGAAGTACGATTCATGGGAGGGTTTAGGGGAAAATTGTGGCTATAGGCTGGTGATCAACATTTTAAATTGAGAGAAAACTGGGAATATTCCCTTCCAGCGGAATCACAGACCAATTAGCCTGCGTTTTCATAAACAAGGCACAAGATGCTTAGTGGTCAACAGTGGAGGACTGTTGCAGTTTTCAAATTCCCAATACACATCATTTTGTTTGTGTATGTGAAAACATCTGGAAGTGTCGGTTAGGACTGGGCAATATTTGGTTGAAGTTAGTCACTGAAATACTGAAATTAAACATGAAATTTAAAAAACATTTTTGAGGATTCAAAGAGGTGGTATTTTGCTCATTTTCAGGTTCATAATCCTATTTATTTGTTGTACCAGAACAGGTTTACATGGTTTAATTTTCAAAAAACTATTTTTTGTCATACTGCACATTGCTGCAGCTCCTCTTTTTACCCTGTGTTGAAGGCTTCGTTTTAGCTATGGAGTGATACATCTTGCCTCTAAATGATCTCTGTTGGGAGTTGTGCACATGCACAGTTAGGACTACTAGCCAATCAGAACTAGAGAAGGGCGGGTCAGCAAGAAGCCGGTAAACAGCTTCGGTTCAGCTGTACATGTTGCCAACCAGCTTAGCAATATGGACTGGAGCAAGACTTTCAGAGTGGTGAGTTATTACTTTGTAACAAAAGTATCTTTCATCCATAAAGTTTTAACCGAGCTCTGTCTCTACATCATAGTAAAAAATTTATGTCCATTGACTGCCTGTAGGGTAGCTAGTGTTTGGAAAGGGAGGAGGTGTATGCTGCAGCTCAGTGTTTTTCCACCGGTGTTTTTGAGGGTGTGTCAGAGTAGCCGCTTGGCGAGAGTTATATGAGGCGCATTTAGCTTTCCCTGTGACGTCACGGAGATGATGAAAGGGAAACGGCTGGACTACAAATGAGTTTTCAGGCAGTTCAGAGCAGAGTTTTCTGTGGGAGATGGGAACTCCCTTTGGGCTGGGCTTTGGGCTTTTTCACTTTGAAAACCTATTACATGCACAAAAAAGGTATATAACTCAATAAAGGAGAGGGAAAAAGCCAAAAAGCATAATACTACCTGTTTAAACTAGAAGCCCTTACATGTTTTTACCTGCAAATAACTAATTATTTGTGATTATTTGAGTTTTGAAAAGCCCAACAGCTGCTGCATGGGCTAAAGAACATTATGAAGTATTACAGCACATTAAAAATAGACAATAGTTATTAGATTTAAGAGAAATGAACAAGCTCCACACTGACAATAGCATAGATAAGATTTAACTTAGTTGATCAATCAAAAATTGCCTATTTGGCACTGATTCATGTGGTTTAAAGGGATTCATAGTGATCTTTATACTTATATTTAGCAGCAGCCGGACAATCTGTATGTATAATGGTTTGTCCCCCTAAATTCTTTATATAATAAATTATAAATCTAATATGTAATATTGAAGTAGAGAATGAGACAGTTCTTTAGCAGCTCATCAGCATGTTTGATATTTCCGTTAAAAATTGAACAGTGGAGGGTGGAGAGGAGACAAAGGAAGGAGGATTATTTTGGTCTTTGGGTTAGACACGGTTTACAATGAATATGCACGGCACTGAGGTTATCGTTTCATAGGTTGTCTGTTTTTAAATGCAGAAAATACTACAAGCTGATTCTGACCAAGAACTTTGAGGCTCTGAACTCGAAAGGCGGAGGAAACCAGGTCTCCCTGCTTAACATCATGATGGACCTAAAGAAGTGCTGCAACCACCCCTACCTCTTCCCCGTCGCCTCCATGGTGAGAATAGACACACACACACGCACATACACACACACACACACATACATTTGTTCCTTTACATCTCATTGACATAATGCATTCCCTAACCCCTTACCCTAACCGTAACCAGACAACTGCTTGCTTAACCTTAACCCTTACCTTTACCTAATTGTAACCTGAACCCTAACACCAAGTCTTAACCCATCAAAAACCAGTCTCTACCTGTGGGGACCCCTGCAGTGAGTCCCTGTCGGTAAGTGTGCATTCAAATTAAAGTCCCCACTGGGATATAAAAACATGAAAGCACACACACCTACTCTCGTCCTTGACAACACCCCCTCCAGCCAAATATAACGTTTTAATAGAAACATTGAAGAAAATCAATACTACATATTTTCTTACGTTAAATTCAAACAGTTCACCTTCTATTTGATCACACAGAAAATTTAAGTCCAACATTATACTGTCTTTTTAAATCATTTGCTTTGAATTACTCCTGAATTGCAGAACAGTGACACCTTGTGGTGATGTTCAGTAGTGCTTTTGTATCATATATGTACTTTTAAGATGTATGATTAAAATTACAGGTGAGATGCAAGACAAAGTAAAAGAGAGACTTTATACTATTATTTACCCCGTGGCTTGGTTTGTGTGTGTGTGGGTTCGTAGGAAGCCCAAAAAACCCCCAACGGTGCTTACGAGGGGTCGGCCCTCACGAAGGCCTCTGGGAAACTGATGCTGTTGCAGAAGATGCTGAGGAAACTGAAAGAGCAGGGACACCGAGTACTGGTCTTCTCACAGGTACACACTCACAATGACACACACAGATACGGCAGATGGATGCGCCTCCCTTCACAGATGTTAAATTAGTCCCACGACACCTCCAGAAGGCTGAACAGCAGAGTGATTACAGCTGTGCGTGGGTAATCAAGTATAGATGAAAAAATACACACAACCAGCTTTCTTTCTCTCCTCCATTTATAGATGACTAAAATGCTGGACTTACTAGAAGATTTCTTGGACCATGAAGGTTATAAGTATGAAAGAATTGATGGAGGCATTACAGGAGCGCTGAGACAGGAGGCCATTGACCGCTTCAATGGTGAGATACTGGATGATGTGCAGTCATTAAAGGTGCAGTACGTTCTCCATTGACTTTTGTTGACCCCTGTTGGTGACCAGTAGTATTTACATCATTATTACCAGTATTCTCCTATTTCCTTGTGTAGTTTACTAAAACTTACACAAATAATGCATTTTAATGTGCAAGAAAACTGACATCTACTACCAGCTTCATCAAAACAGCAGAACTTCCTGTTTCTTAACAATATTCCCACTTTCTCCTAACACAGGGTAAGGTGTACGCTAAAACAGGCGTTTATTTTATCAACTGACTTTAATGCAACTTGTAAAAACAAATTGTAAGCATACATGTATGCCTGCATATTAAGCTATTAAATAAATGTTACTGTGGGTTTTAGAGCTGGGCTTTTCTTATACTTCCAAGCGGGTTTTGCAAGGAGATGGTAGAAGGTGATAGGGCATCAGGCAACGTGAGATCTGAGAATCCGTTGCTTTAATCTGATGCCAAATTATTAATTAAACAATTACTGATGCCTGTGAGTTACAATGGATGATTAACACTGGGTCACATGCTGAGTCTGTTTTCATGTGGAACTTGAATGTGTCACTAAACAGCTGTTGGCGACAAATAGCATTAAATTATACAGTATGAATAATAGGATGAGCGTTGCTTTCGCCGTAGCAGGTACAACTGCATTCACTACCTCAGGTAATTTCTAATATTAAAATATAGCAAGCCATTAGAGCCACATCAGTAAACTTGGAGAGAGCTTACCTAAATGGAAAACTTTTTTATTCATACACGGTAATAGTTGCCTATTATGGTGTCAATAGATTAAATTAAACTAGATTGTGCAAGAATTCTAAATAAATACCATTAAACCTTTAAAAGTTTCCTTAATCAATAATGGAATGAAATCAGTAAAGAATTTGATCAATAGGCATAATTACTTCAATGCCCAAACATTACTATCAAGAAAATAACCAACATGACAAAAGACAAAGTATATACAGTACATGCATAAAATAATTTTTTAAAAACTTTTTTCTATTACATTTAGCAGATTTTTAACCCAGAAGCAGACTTCAGACAAGGTAGTTTGTAAAGTCTAAAAGATAGTTATTGTATAAGGAGCGGGGAATGGAGATGGCGTGAGCTTGAGGATAACGCTGGGGAAGCACAAGAGTGTGGCAGGCAGAGGCAGCTGGCTGGATAGTTGGTGTGGCTTGCTGGCGTTAAACTGGGAGGCAGAGTTTCAGCGAGCAGGCAGGGGCGTGTGGTACTGGAGCATTAGTTGTTCAAGTGAAGTTGAGTCAAAACATCCAGAATCAAGTAAATAACATAAAACATGGGAAAGGTTTACAAAAAATACTTATTTTGAAAATCCTCTATATGTCCCTGTAGTATGTAAATTATTTATGTATGTATGTATGTAATGTCACTAGCTGTTTGTATATCTCACACACACTCTCTGTCTCTCTGGCCGCAGCTCCCGGTGCTTGTCAGTTTTGTTTCTTGCTCTCCACCAGAGCAGGAGGTTTAGGCATCAACTTGGCCACAGCGGACACGGTCGTCATCTTTGACTCTGACTGGAACCCTCACAATGACATACAGGTAACATAAACTGGTAGCTGCTGAGGAAGGAACGATTCAGTACGACATGAACTTAACTTTTTGACTTTATCCCTCTCTGCCCAGGCGTTCAGTCGAGCCCACCGAATTGGGCAGGCCAACAAGGTGATGATCTACCGCTTTGTGACCCGAGCCAGCGTGGAGGAGCGCATCACCCAGGTAGCCAAGAGGAAGATGATGCTGACCCACCTGGTGGTCCGGCCGGGCCTGGGATCCAAAGCTGGCTCCATGACCAAACAGGAACTGGACGACATTCTCAAGTTTGGAACAGAGGAGCTCTTCAAGGATGAAATAGAAGGTGAGGTTATTTTTTCTACTCAAGAGTATTTGTCAAGGGAAATTAGGATTTTCAGTTAATAATGTGGGGATTTGGAGCTTTAATGTTTGGGTGAAAGTCAGAGTTGGATTGTTTCTAAGAGTTGGCAGGCGTCTTGTTCTGCGTGAAATTATTTTGTCAGACACACTCACTTTAATGTCCGTTCATCCAAAGGAATTTGGCCAGAGGACTTGCTTGGCTTTATTCTGGTTTTATTGATGAAACAATTGGTTGACAAGAAATATTGTATTTACGAAATTTGTCTGGAGGAAATAGGTCAAATCACTTTTTTAAACTCCATTGTATGGCAGGTATGAAGAACAGTTCAAGGGATAAAGTCGAGGACGAGGGCAGCGTGATCCACTATGACAGCACTGCCATTGAGAGGCTGCTGGACCGAAGCCAAGACGCCACGGACGACTCGGACGTCCAGAACATGAACGAGTACCTCAGCTCCTTTAAAGTGGCCCGGTACATGGTCCGAGAGGAAGATAAGGTGCAAGGGCGGAGGGTGTTACAAATAATATCATAGATGTGATGTTTAAAATGACCTTCCAAGTGATATTCTTTACATTTTCAGTCCAGCAGCTGCACCTAAACAGGAGTTTCCTAATCTTTTTTGACTTAGTGTTTAACCACAATGTGGACGGCGGACAAGGAGCGCATTGTTCTCCACACGCCATGCATGTTCGCAGATCGTGTTCATTTCAGTCATGGCATGAGCTCTCTCTCGTTTTATAAGGGTGGCTGTGGTCCACGTTTCGAAGTGTCCTCGGGCTCTCGATGGTCTGTTTTGGATAAAAGCAGGATATAAATGCAGGCATTTCTTTGTCCTCCCAACACACAAATAAGCTCTGATAACAAGTCGGAAAATGAAGAAAAAGAAGAAATACACCCAAACATCTCACCAACACTCCCACAGATTCCATGCATTGCTGAATAGGACCTAAACAATAAGTGGATTATTTGATTAATCATTTGACAGAAGATAACGATTAATGGCATAAGTAATTTCTTTATGCAAAAAGGCCAATAATTCACAGCTTCCTGCTATTCAAATGTGATCATTTGCCGCTTTTCTTCTTTTATACTGATCTGAATATGTTGGGCTTTTGGACAGTTTGATGGAAAAAACTGGCAATTTGAAGATGTCACCTACAGTAAATCGGTTAATCAACACAATGATCAGCAGATCAATTGATAATTAAAGTTACTTGCAGCCGCACTGCTGGTGGTGCTGCAGGTTACCTCACACACTGATGATATAGGAAAGAAAATCTGTGTATTGTTGTGGGACACAGACAAAAGGCCACAAGCTGCAGACAGTAGCAAATGTTCAAAGGCCTAGTAACAGTCCAGGGGCCGGGGGTTGGGAACCTCAGCATTTCGAAGACCATTTTAACTATTTTTTCAGCTCTGCAGACATTTTGTAAAGAAACATGTAAATCAATCAACTAGTTTGTTGGAACATAAATTAACTGCACATGCAAGTGTGACAAAGTTAGCCACATTTATCAAGTTCAGAAAAATTATCCAATTTCCCAGCGTCGACCGCTGATGACCTACCTGCTGCCTGCACGGTCGCAGCATCTGTGGACGTGCCTTTGAAAAAACATGGGCACTGCACCGTTGCTGTCCTTGCAATCTGACCTCTGAGGAATCTGCGTGTGTGTGTGTGTGTGTGTGTGTTTGTGTACATCTATCTGAGAAACCCGCCATGTACTTTTCTGCTGCTTCAGATCGAGGAGATCGAGCGGGAGATCATCAAACAGGAGGAGAACGTGGATCCGGATTATTGGGAGAAACTGTTGCGGCATCACTACGAGCAGCAGCAAGAGGACCTGGCGAGCAAACTGGGTAAAGGCAAGAGGAACCGCAAGCCCGTCAACTACAACGACGCTGCACAGGAAGACCAAGGTATGTGTATGTGTGGACCTGGTAGTCTTAAAAAGTTCCATTAAGCCGAATGAACTCCTGTAAGTTGTTTGAAATCAGTCGCTGCCAATTACTAAAAAAAGAGGAGCTAAGAGTTTAAGAGTTCAGATTTTTGTTATATTTATTATCCTAATCTTAGCAGAAATAGGATTTTAGATGATGTGTCTTCTGTTTGAGTTACTGCTTGCACAGTGGAAGTGAATGGGCCTGGCCTATTGACAGACCACCATGTGCTGTTTCAGAGTGGCATGCTGACATTTCAGATAACCAGTCCGAGTATTCAGTGGGCTCCGAGGAGGAGGACGAGGACTTTGACGATAGGCCAGAAGGTAAGGAGAGATAAAAAATAAAAATAAAATCAAACATCAAACCGAGCAGTGCTGCTGTTGTAACACACACACACGCACACGCACACTCGGGTCTGTGTTGAATTACAGGTTGAAATTGATTTAGTTGTTACAGTTGCCTGGCAGAGTCTGACAAGTGAAATTGCCAGAAATGCAAACTTCCATTCACCTCCTCCCCCTGTGCTTCAGACAATGGAAAATGCTTGAAGCATTTCAAAATTTTATTTTATTTTTGGTTGATACGAATGCACAACTAACTATACATTTTAAGAAAAGTCTGCAAAGTCTCCCACCATCCGTTCTGTTTCCTCCTGCAGGTCGAAGGCAGTCGCGTCGCCAGTTGAGGAACGAGAAGGATAAACCTTTGCCTCCTCTCCTGGCGAGAGTCGGAGGTAACCTTGAGGTTTGTACAACTCTCTGGAGCCAGTTCTGCTTTCATTTTGTGTGTGTGTGTGTGTGTGTGTGTGTTTTTTAATTGTGATTTTACTGGAAACTGTCAGCTTTGTTGAACTTGCACTCTTTTTTTATTTTTCTAACAATCTTAATCTTAAATTGGAGATGGCAGCAAAGCTATTACATCTCCAACGACTCTGAACCCTTCCGAGCTCATTTATCATCCTGATAATAGTGGACATGATTATAACGGCCTGCATTGTTCAAGCAAGGATTCAATGTTTATTTCAGCATCATTAGGCCGTCAGACCTATTCAAATAAGGCCTTGGGAGAAATACACGAAAGTCTGCAGGGCAATGAAAAAAAGGTTTTCTCATCCTGACATTTTCATTTAAGGTCTTCCAGAATAATAACGATACACAGACACATTTTAACAGGCCGGCACTATTTCCACTATCCAGACACTGCCACTTTCACTCAGGAATATATATATTATACTGTTATTTCTTATTATAGGTGCTGGGCTTTAACACACGCCAGCGAAAGGCTTTCCTGAATGCAGTGATGCGGTGGGGGATGCCTTCTCAGGATGCTTTTTCCTCTCAGTGGCTGGTCAGAGACCTCAGGGGCAAGACTGAGAAAGAATTCAAGTAAGGAAAAACTATTGATTGAAATTGTTCAAACCTAATCTTTGTCGATTTCTGTCTGTTCTTTGACCCATATATTCCTCCTCTTCTCCGCCAGGGCTTACGTCTCTCTCTTTATGCGGCACTTATGCGAGCCGGTGGCTGATGGGGCTGAGACGTTCGCAGATGGTGTGCCGAGGGAGGGCTTGTGTCGCCAGCCAGTCCTCACCCGAATCGGCGTCATGTCTCTCGTCAAGAAGAAGGTCAGACCAAAAGCAGTTTGCCTTTCTAGGTCAAGACAAATGTGGTGAAGTTTGTCCGATATACAACAGAAGAGCAACCAGTGTGTCCGTTTACAGTGCAGCCAAACAAACTCACGTTGTTTAAATATTGAAGTATTTTTAAAGTTTATTTTTTCGAAGAAAAACGCTAAAAAAGACTGTTGTCTTGTTTTGTCTACACACATATCAACGACAACTACACTGCGCCTCCTGTGATTTCTTCACAAGAAAAGCCATCCTGTGTAGCAGTAACTTAATACAGCTCTCATATGATGTTAGCAGTGAGGCTGAAGATACAAATAAAAACACTCATGCTGGATTACATATATGCTTTGTTTCCTGTAGATGCCTCATATGTAGGTAGGCAATTAGAATCCAGTGAGGGAATGGCGGACTCCGACACTAAGAATGAAAACTGCTATATAGAGAGATAATGACTGAATGTAAATATACTGAGTGGCGATTTCTGGAGAAAGAAATGATCAAAACAGGGTTTGCTTTAATGAAAATCTTCAATATCAGCAGGCTGTCTACAGGCCCATATTAAGTAGTATGGTGTGTTTAATTAAAAAAATTAAGACAATATAGTCTGGAGGTCTTTAGTAAAATGTTGGAGGTCTTTTTCTAGTGAAGAAATCAACCATGACATCTTGAAAGATGTTCAGATTATCCTACTACTGTCAGTTTGCCAGTTTACTTGAATTTATCCAAACATCTCCAATCCAGTTTTCCGTCCAACTTGTTGAAACCTGCTGACATCCTGATCTGCTATCTACGCCAGGGGGAATGTATGATATACTGCCAGGCAAACAGGGCATGTGGGTGGTGAGTTTAAATAAGGTGGTATTAGGTGAAGTGAGTGTGTGCCAAGCTTTTTAGTGTTTAGTGTTTTGTGTCCAGATCCAGGAGTTTGAGCACATCAACGGGCGGTGGAGTCTTCCAGAGCTCAAGCCTGAGGTCAGCATGGACAAAACCTCCTCCAGGGCCTCCTCTCCTGCAGTAAAGACCTCCACGCCCACCCCTGAAGCCAGCTACAACAACACACCTTGCACTTCCAAGCCAGGTAACCAAACACACACTCGCCAGATCCAGCAGGGGGCGCTCCATGGAAAGGGCACTAGATAAAGTTGGAGTTGAATCTAACCTCCAGTAATGTGTTTGTTTTTATTTGTCCAAACATGCACAGCGACCCCTGCTCCAACAGACAAGCTAGAAAAGAACGGAAAAGAGGGCGAGGAGAATAAAGAGGAAGGCGAGGCCCCGTCCGACAAAGAGAAAGTGAAGGAGAAAGAGAAAGATGAGGGGAAAGAGGTGGAGAGTAACAGGACTGCAGACCCTGAAGAGGTGAGACGCTGCACACATCTCCACTCTGTGGTTTTCAGAGGCTAATAACAGACAGTGTTCTTATCAGCCACTTAATGCATTATTTCTTTACATTTTCATTTCTGTTTCTGCATCTCTGCAAAACTTTAGCCCATTTTATGAACTCTTTTTTTATCAATAAGAGAAGCAGATGGAGTTACAGCGTTCTTTCAAAAGTTTAACAGCTTTAAACCTCCTTTTAAGTCAGATTTCTGTGTTGTGTGTTTTTTTTGCAAGTGTTTTCTCCTAACCGTAACATTACTTCCAGTCAGAATGACTGTTATAAAGTCGCAGTGCAGACATGAAAAAAACAACAACATTCATATCATGTGAAAATTAGTTCATGTCTAATGTATGTAGGAAAACACAAACAAAACCATAACAGCAAGCTCTGGAAAATGGCCATCCATAAAGTTAAATGAATGAAAGGCTACAACATACAACGACACTAGTGAGGTCTGTTAAATAAACTACGAATACAGTAGAATATGCTGTAAGTTGAATAAACTGTGTGGCAATCAATCAGGAATATTTCCACATATAAAAATTCCACTGTTTTTCTCAGTTCTGTTAAAACTGATTTAAAGCAACATTCATTCAACTAAACAACAAATTAGACCAACTCAGTGACAGTATGTTGTGCTACTTTCTATAGCTTTCCTCTGCGACAAAAGAGGCGTCACAAAATGCGTCCCCTAGGCACAAAAATGAAGAGGAGAGCAACCTGAAAGAGGAGGAAAAGAAAGAAACATCTGACACAACAGAGGACAAAAAGGTACAAGAGGAGAGTAAAGACGAGACAAAGCAAGACACAGAGGTCAAAGAAGAGAAATCAGGTAAAAACAAAAACTTCATAAGCCGATAAGTGCTTCAAACAGATGAAGCAGGTTTGTCCTTGCTAACATTTTAAAATTGTAATGTTCCTTCCTGCAGAAGAAGAAAAGATGGGGGATGAGAGGGAAAAAGACAAAGAAAAGCGGGAAGTCACACCGACAGCAATGGAAGTGACAGATGCCAAGGATAAGCCCGAGGCGGGAGACGTGAAGAAAGGTACGTCTCGCTGTCTGTGATAGTAAGATGCCATAAATACATTTTTTTTTTTCTTTTGCTAAATGATACCTTTGCTGTCTTTCTCGCTAACAGAGGAAGTCAGATGTGAAAAGGATGCTGGGAAAGAAGTCAAAGCAGTGAAGGAGGAGGCACCCAAGGGTAACGGGAAGCCTCCCATTGAGCGACCACGCTTCATGTTCAACATCGCAGATGGCGGCTTCACTGGTCAGTACTGATTTACACGCAGTGGAATAGATTCAGCTGATCCATGTGGTAGTGGACATACAGCAAAGCGTTTTAGGATTTTATGTAGGGTCCTTGAGTAGTAGTTGTGGGGTTAATGCTTGGACGCACACGACACACAGCTGGGAGTAAAAACTAAATATTTAGAAACATGGGAAGGACTATCGTGGTTAAGACGTCGGCATTCATTTCATTTGAAATAGTCGACTAATATTTTTATCGCTGAAGATAAACATTTGATGGTTTCGGGTTTTCACGTGAGAATTTGCTGCTTTTCTTTGTCTCACATTAAAGTAAATTTAACATTTTAGAGGTTTGGGACTGTCGGTCAGACAAAACAAGTGTGTGTCGACGCTTTGGGCTCTAGGATGTTACGATTGCATGTTTCACTGTTTCGAATTCTTATAGACCAAACAATAAATCATGAAAACAATAGGCAGATTAAACGATAATGAAAATATCCTCTAATTGACAATATAGCAGTTTAGGTTAGCTTGAAAAACCTTCTGTGTTATTAACCACCTAGTTAGGTGTAGTGTTTCCAGTCACAACTTTGACCTGAATGTTGGCATGAACTCTATTTACAAGTCAGTAAGACGGTAACTTATATATGACATGAACGCAGCATTAGCCTCCTGCTAAGGTGGAAGTGATTACACCTGGGAAGGGCCTGGATGCTTGTTTTCTCCTCCCTGCCTTATCTAAGCAATATGTTAAGCAAGAACTGTATCCCGATTCATTAGATATACAAAGAAGTTTATTATTTAAAAAATACATGTAATGTAGCTTAGACACTTTTATATTTTAAGAAGATTTTTTTATTATATAATACAAATATTAGAGAATCCCTGAAAGATGAGGAAATGTGAAAACAAACAAGTAACTGAGCATAGAACATAAAATTCACTACTAATACAAAAAAAACCCTTCCCCTTACTTTCCAGAGCTTCTGCACTAATGCAGCAGTGAGCTAAAAATTATCTTCACCTCAATCACAAACCTAGAAAAGCTCTTTGTGCTGTGGAAACACCTGCAGCCAGGTTTCAGCTAGCTAAGCACGTTGAGACCAACCTCCTTTTTTTACTTTGTGTTTGCTTCACCTCGCAGAGCTGCACACTCTTTGGCAGAATGAGGAGCGGGCTGCCATCTCCTCGGGGAAGATGAACGAGATCTGGCACCGCCGACACGACTTCTGGCTGCTAGCGGGAATCGTGATGTATCCTTGACGGCAGTTGCCCCTGCGATGACCCCGATGTGTTTATTTTTCTATCAGCCAGCAGAAGCCCAGCGTAATAAGTCAACAAGCCAGCCAGAGCTCAGTAAACAGCAAACTGTATCTGCTGGAAGCTGATGTAGTGGCTCATTTAGTTCATGTTGTTAACTCTAATATGGTAATTAAGGCCATGCAGCTTTCACATAAAACTGTTTTCATTATTCTGAAGCATAGTTAGACTGAAATACAAGGGGAGAAATGCGTTGTTTGAGAAGCTGCCTGAGACCTATTTTGTGCTAAAATAACTGCAGTTTTGTATTTTAAGTTGATTATACAAATCATGAAATACATCACCCTCAAAAATCAGTGGTCAGCTTTATTTCTTCCTGAAAAAGGTTAGATGAGCAGATGGATAGCCCTCTCATGTCTGTTGCTTAACTTAGCATAGAGCCTGGAGGCAGCTAAATAAATGAGTTACAACCTTCAGAAAGAGGCAGGGTAGCTGTTTGAGCTAGTCCCGGCTGTTACAAGAGTGGTAAATGGCTTCTCATCTAACTTCTACTAAGAAAATGAATACCATAAGCATGTTTTCTGAAATGTCCAACTATTGTTTTCAGTATGTAGGTGTTTAGCTAAGCTTAGCATTAAGACTTGAACGAGCTGGAAACAGCTAGCTTGACTCTGCTCAACATTTAAAAATAGGCCTACCGTACTTTCTAACACTCTCTAATTAAAGCTCATTTCTTTAATCCATAGAAACATAGAAATGTAAAAATGAGTTTGTGGTTTTATGGGGAGCTACGTGCTGTAGCTTTTTCTTCTGTTTTGCCACCATTGTGCCTTTCAGAGACCTATTCCAGGAAACAGTTACAGCACATAACTCCCTGTAAAACCACAAGTTGTCTTTACATTTGTGGTTGTGTACAAATTAACATTTTTGAACTTTAGACAGAGCCAGGCTAGCTGTTTCCCCTTGCTCTTTATACCTGCTTTTATGCTAAGCCATGCTAATCTTCTCCTGGCTCCAGCTCTATACTCAGATCTTCTCAGCAAGAAAGCAAACATATTTTCCAACACTACTGTGTTTCATAATTTTTCCATTGCAAAGCCTTCTCTGTTTAGCTTCACTGTGATGTTACTTTTATGATGTCGGGTAGAAAAGATGATGTCCCACACGGCACTGCTTCCACCTATCTCTTACCCAAAGTGTTAAGTGACCCTTGACCCCTGTGTCAGTCACGGCTACGCCCGGTGGCAGGACATCCAGAACGATCCCCAGTTCGCCATCGTCAATGAGCCTTTCAAATCGCAGGCAAATAAAGGCAACTTCCTGGAGATGAAGAACAAGTTCTTGGCTCGGCGCTTCAAGGTAAGACGAGACGTTTCTACAACACATGAGATTTATGTTAAGTTATGCTGGGTTTATGACAGTTGTTTTTTTTTCTGTAACAATAGCATGATATTTTTTCCAAAACCTGTGGAATATAAATATGTTTCTCTAAAAACATAGAAGCCAAAGTTCTCAAACATTTAATGCAAAAACTTATTTGGCAACATTTTGATTTAAATCAGAAGATTACGACTATGAGCAGCCATTCAAAGCCAACAAGCTCTTGACAATTTCCAGTATGCTGTGCTACAGACACACGTCAATTCAATTCAATCAAAATAGTCTTGAGGTCTAAAACGCAGCCCCATTTCTATGCAAAAAAACTATTTTAGTTACATTTCGCAGCGATTTCTATCACCTGACTTGTTTGATGGTCGGATGACAGATGCCCCTAGACCCACATGTTGGCTGGATGGTATTGCTGACTGCTGCATTTCTGGAATGGCTCTCATCCTGTTTTTGAGCGGCTCACATGTTTCAGATCCTGCCCTCAACATCCTCATTTAATGTATCTCTGTCTCTTTTACTCTCTTCATTTCTTGTTATCTGTCTATAGTTTAGTTAGTTTAGTATGTAACCATCTACCATTGAGAACAGCCAGGACAGCACAAAATTTTATAATTTCACACCCATTTCCTCTTAGTATGTTTTAGTATGTATTGGTTGTATAACATAACCTTTCAACGGGACACACACCCACAACTGAATCACTGTATGAAGCTTCATTTCGCTTGTAATGCTTGCATTACTGGTGCCATGCCAGCCAATACACTGATATATTGCTGAAAAGTATCAAGTATCTTAAAGAGGCAGCGAGAGATTATTGGAGCAGTTTTCAGACAGAATAAAATAAGAGTACAGGGCAAACAGAGAGTGAATTAAGTTTCCTCATTCGACGTTTGTTTTTTTTGTCTTGGTCTTTGTTTTCATTTAGATCACTAATGGTATCAAATGCCTCTCAATGCAATCAGTGGCGTCAGCTGTGCATTGGAGGAGCTTAAAGTTCTGGTCGATTTGGCGACCCATGTTTACTGGTGGTTACTGGTATTAGGCGTATCAGCAAGTGCGGTTTAATACAGTGCTACAGGTCCCAGAATTCTGAGGGCAGTCTGGCAATAATTGACCTTTTTCCATCACTCTGTGAGCTAACGTGATCTGATTTTATGCTGCCCACGGCATGAGTCTTTCGGCAGGTGTAAATGCAGCAATCGCACTCAGGTGCACACCAAAAGCGGCCCATACGAGCGTACCGAGACCTCCTTGAAGTGGTGGTCTCTGTACTCTTTCAAACTAACTCTGGAGCGGTTTGTTTATGGTGAGAATGTGATCCGACCTCGAACAGACCCAACTGTTGGAAGAACTGTACATTTATGGACTAAACCAGCTGCCGTAGTCAGCTGCACTGTGCATAATGGGATGAGGACAAGTATTTGTTGACAGTTTGCACTTTAGCAACACAGCCCCTTGGACAAACTTGGGAGTCATGAGGAGAAATACAACGAGTGATGTGAATTTTGTCACGTGACTTGTGTTGCTGCATTTTGGTTCCTTTCACCAACTCATCAACTGATTCAGACCACAGCAAACAGGGTGGCGTGAAAAGCAACTAAAACGACTGAAAATTGTTACAATGTTGAATTTTCTGCCCTTGATCCGGATCAAATGAACTGAACTGTAGATGTGAAAGCACCCTGAAATGTTAGTTTGAGATACTGACTCAATGTTGTGAATGCAAGAACAGTGTGTAGGAATTTACTTGACGCTGACCTGCAAAATAAATAATCGGTGTACATGTATTTTTACTGATATGTTGTAATTGTTGTCTCACATCTTTCTCTCTGATTTTCTTGCAGTTTTACATTTTTTTCTAGTCAAAATAGATATTTTACTTATAAGTATGAATCACAAATTGGGGCAACAATAAATAATGCCCCATAAAATCCCGCTATTTGCCAAAATAAAACACCAGTGTTTACCTAATAGAAAGCAGCTTTTCAACATTTTACTGTAAGACTAAAGCTGTGCCCCAGTTCCATACTTGATACTAATTCTAAGCAGGTTTTGAGTATGTAGTGTGTTCACACTGGAAAAATGACAGTAGTATCCCACAATGCAGTGCACAATGGAAATAGAGAAGCTTCTCACAGCTGTAAAACATTAAAACAAAATAGTTGATAGTGGTGAGACAGCTGAGGATGATCTCAGAGCAAAAAAAAACAAGCATAAAATCTTTGGTAAAACATTTTTGTTTCTGTCTCTTCCGTTTTTTTGAGTTCTGCCTTTTAAAAACTTTTTTTCAAAGAGATGGGGGATGCAATCAAAGCTTATATATTAAAGAAAACATGAAAAAAAAGATTATTAAAAGAAGTATTCATTATATGCATGAAATAATTGCGTGTACATTCTTTAATTTCACTTTATTAGGGTTTAGTTAAAGCAGGTAACGTCTTGATGAAAATATTAAACATAAGTATTGTTTTAGCAAATCAGCTAGACGACAAGGTCATGCATGTGAGGTCAAGGACAAGGCTCCTAGACAACAGCTAATTAATATGCACACTCAACACCGACAGGGGGACAGGGGGGTCTACTACAGGTGGTCTACATGTGGTTGTTGACAGTGTTGCGAGTGATAGATCACCCTTAGTCTTAATCTGTCAAAATGATGGACGGCCTTCAGATTTTTCTGTCATTGTAGGAGATTTCAGTCAGTGAAGGAGAATCTTTGGTTAATGCAATCCCTGGTAGACATCAGTATTAGCAAAGTGAAATTAAAATTGCAGCATAGTGTTATGCTTGATTTTTAAATCCAACATCACAGTTTGATTGATAGCACAAGTGTCAGTAGTAAAGAACAGTAAATTAACTTTTTGTATGCTATATTCAAAAACAGTATTGTAACTGGGACAAACATTGTGTATAAAGACGCAGTACAGAGCAGCTGGGTTGGTAAACATGAGCATCCTGCAATGATTAAATCTGTGTGTTGAAGTCTTCCAAACAGCACTTCCATTTAGGAGCCCAGAGTGTGCAGAAAGTGCCTGTTGCCTGTACGATACAGTAGATGCACAGGCATTCGTATCCGTGACAGTCTACTTTGAAACACTTTCTTTCTTGTCCTCCAGCTGTTGGAGCAGGCGCTGGTGATAGAGGAGCAGTTGCGGCGGGCAGCCTACCTGAACATGACCCAAGACCCCAGCCACCCAGCCATGGCGCTCAATGCACGATTTGCAGAGGTGGAGTGCCTAGCGGAGTCACACCAGCACCTCAGCAAGGAGTCACTGGCGGGCAACAAGCCAGCCAACGCTGTCCTGCACAAAGGTCGGGGATGTTGGGATGATGCCAATAATTAGGGTTATAAATCTAGTTTTTTTCAGATCTGTTTGTACGGTTAATAATAAAAAAAAACAACAATTCAGTGTGTGTGAATGAAGCAAACAAACAAACTGGCAGACCGGAGATTAAAAAGATCTCTCTCTCTCTCTGTCTCTGTCTCTGTCTCTCTCTCGCGCGCTGTTGTGCAATCTGTCCTGCCGCAGCAACAATATCACTCTGCCTGACGCTGACTTTAGTAAAGACAAGCAGCAGATGAGCTTACACCATGTTAAGTGATAGTTCCAAACATTTCCTCACTGGCTCCCTGGCAAGTCTGTCCATGTTTATATTGTTCTACCGAAAAGGAGAAGATGCTCAGTAAATACTGCACTAATGTTCCTGTTCCTGTCTTGTCTTCCTGCACGTAATTCAGGACTTAGTGGCTGCTCATAAACATGCTAGTCTCCAATCAGTGGTAAAATCCATGTAGGGATGTGATGACAGAGTGGCGAGATAATAATGGATGGGAACAGAAATCACTTGTGAAAATAGAATGAGGAAAGTGCTTTTTTTAAGCCCCAAAACTCTGTAAAGAACAGACTATTTATAGTGTTCAGACATTATAAATGATAGTAAGCCACACAGTTATCGCCATAGTAACTTTTAAAGAACTAGGAAGACATTACTTTAACTTTTAAGGGCAGAAGCAGCCAGTTTAAACAGTTTATTGAGTTGAAGTGATGCATTAATCAATATCCAAGTATCAGTATCCAAATAAAGTATCAAATCATTAATAAGAGAAGGTAAAATTTGAAAGTAATAAGACCTGATGTGAAGTAGTTGTTGATTGTCAGTAGTTGTTGATTTTTGTTGTTGTCATTGCAGTGTTGAACCAGTTGGAAGAGCTACTGAGTGACATGAAGGCTGACGTGACCCGTCTACCGGCCACGCTGGCCAGGGTCCCGCCCATCGCTGCCCGCTTACAAATGTCCGAGAGGAGCATCCTCAGCCGACTGGCCAGCAAGGGCACTGAGACGCACACACCTCCGGTCAGCATCCTGCTTTTAAACACACACATACACACACACATACACACACACACACACACACACACACACACCCAACACAAAAAAACTGCCACAATCACAAGTTGAAGCCTGCTCGAGCTGCCTGCACTCAGTGGAAAAATAATAAATGGACGACGGCCAGTGAAAATACAGTGCTTATTATCTTGTCACCCACCTGTGGTTTTTCACTCTACAGCTGTTTAGTCAGCAGATTTCTTTTTGTCAGCTTACAGAACTTAAAAGTGGTTTGTCTTATTTGTCTCATTGTTATATTGTGTGTTCTTATGAACCACATCCTACATGCACATAATTCCTCTTCTTCTGTGCAGCCCATACCTCCAGGACCTTACGCAACCCCTCAGAACTACGGAGCCCCCTTCACCCCTGCCCCCCCGAGCGCCCTACACATGGGAGGGGCCAACTACAGTCAGATGCCGCCCGGATCCTTCCTATCAGGTCAGTGTTTGAGGTTCCATTGACATCCTTTACTACTGTAAATAATGGTTCAGTCAGGAGTTGGATAAATCATTACAACACTTAAGTTTTAAAATATGAAATATGTTACACTGAATTAGAAGTAAATACACTGAACAAAATTATAAACGCACCACTTTTGTTTTTGCCCTTATTCATCATGAACTGAACTGATCTAAGACTTTCTCTATGTGCACAAAAGGCCTGTTTTTCTCAAATATTGTTCATAAATCTGTCAAAATCTGTGTTAGTGAGCACTTCTCCTTTACCGAGATAATCCATCCACCTCACAGGTGTGGCATATCAAGATGCTGATCAGACAGCATGGGTATTGCACAGGTGTGCCTTAGGCTGGCCACAATAAAAGGCCAATCGAAAATGTGCTGTTTCTCTGTATTGGGGGGTCGGGGGAGGTCCGGAAACCAGTCAGTATCTGGTGTGACCACCATTTGCCTCAGGCAGTGCAACACATCTCCTTCGCATAGAGTTGATCATGTTGTTGATTGTGGCCTGGGGAATGTTGGTCCACTCCTCTTCAATGGCTGTGTGAAGTTGCAGTGAGTTCAAGACCCCGATGAGGATGACGATCATGCATATGAGCTTCCCTGAGACGGTTCATGACAGTTTGTGCAGAAATTCTTTGGTCATGCAAACCGATTGTTGCAGCAGATGTCCGGGTGGCTGGTCTCAGACGATCTTGGAGGTGAAGATGCTGGATATAGAGGTCCTGGGTTGGTGTGGTTACACGTGGTCTGCGGTTGTGAGGCCGGTTGGATGTACTGCCAAATTGTCTGAAACGCCTTTGGAGACGGCTCATGGTAGAGAAATGAACATTCAATTCATGGGCAACAGCTCTGGTGGACATTCCTGCAGTCAGCATGCCAGCTGCACTCTCCCTCAAAACTTGCGACATCTGTGGCATTGTGCTGTGTGATGGAACTGCACATTTTTGAGTGTCCTTTTATTGTGGCCAGCCTAAGGCACACCTGTGCAATTCCCATGCTGTCAGATCAGCATCTTGATATGCCACAGCTGTGAGGTGGATGGATTATCTCGGCAAAGGAAAAGTGCTCACTAACACAGATTTTGGCAGACTTGTGAACAACATTTGAGAGAAATAGGCCTTTTGTGCACATAGAGAAAGTCTTAGATCTTTGAGTTCAGCTCATGATGAATGGGGGCAAAAAAAAAAGGGTTGCGTTTATGATTTTGTTCAGTGTATATTTTAACTTATGTCATAGAATCTGCAGCCACCACAGGCAGGTTCAAATATACACATATCTTACTTTGAAACTACTTAAAGGTTAAATTTCGTGAACATTAGGCTTCACCTGCCAGTGTCTGTGAATCTGTGAGAGAGAGAGAGAGAGAGAGAGCTGTTACAATCAGTAACATCATAAGGTATTAAGGCATCCATAATTATAGCATTCAGGGTCATTTACACAAGAATGCCGGTTTGTTTCATCAGTTTGACACTTGGCAAACTGGCAAGTTAGGCCAGATTTATGCTTCTTTGGGGAGGTGTTTGTGCAATCTCACTAAAGCTGTGTCTGGCAAGGCAACCACTTTATAACTCAGCGGAGAATTTAACCTGTTGATTGTGTTAGCACCACAGCAACAGTAGATTTACTACTTGATCATCACGTTGTGCATTTGTATACCATGTCTTTCATTTGCTTGGTGATAGAGAGTAATTATGGAAGGAGTTGGACAGGAAATGGTTTTGTTAGCTCAAGCAAAAAAGATGCTAATATATCAAAGTAATCACATTTAAAGTGGCACAATTTTACACACAATGTTCTGTTTACACATCATGAGGAGTACTACTCAGCCTGTGAAAACTGTTATTGTCCTTGAATGTGGAAATTTGTCTTTGGCTTCACAGGCTGATTAGAAACCACATCATTAAAAGTGATAACAATAAACAATAAACAACACTACATACACAGTGTAGACAGTAACGGATATGATTTGAGTGTAGACACATGTTTATGAATTCAGAGAAGTTATTGCATTTGGTTTGAAAGACATTTGTGAATGTTCTTAGTTACGTAATGTCTTCTGTGGCTCTGGAGGAAAAAATAACCCTGATGACATCACTATGACATCATCAGGGTTATCTCTTCTTAGGCTTGGAGACCGTTAATTTGACAGAAAGCCTACATTAGAACCTGGGTGCATAGAGTTTGAAAGATTCAGGTAAATACTGGGCGAAGAGGGAGAAGATTGTGTTGCATTATGGGAAGTGTAAGATACAGTGTTTTGGGAGCTTGGGAGTGAAATACAAAATTTCTATAGTGTTCCTTTTAAGTTAGTTTTGTAATAGTGTAGTAACAATTTCAGCGAGGAGGTTTGCACACAAAATGACTTTACTTCATCACAAAATACAAGTTTGTGTAAGTTTACTGAGAAGGAGACAGAGGTTTTTTATTATTATCAACAATCTCGCAGCATCAGAAACCTGTAATAGAAAACACAAGCAGACGAAGCTCACTAATGGCAGGTCTTGCGGTCTCTGTAGCGTCAGCACAGTTACAGTTTTGAGAGGGTGCACATCAGCTCCAGCAGGGCCACAGAGCCTCCATGACACCCCGACAGAGAAGCACGAATCTGGACTTGATTACTTGGCAACTTGCACTGATGATGGGCAAAACCAGTCCAAAATGTTGCTTCTATTTAAAGATATCATCTGAGGAATTTCATCTTTATATGGTTATGTAGCTGTGGAAAAAACTTTTAGCAAAGGAAATCAAAACAATGTTCAGGCTTCATCGAAAATGACTGACTTTGGGAATTGTGTATTTCAGGAAAATGCCTGTGCACTACAGTTCCCTGATCAAGCAGAGTGTTATTTAAGTCTCGAATGTCACATTTAAGTCTTAAATTTTGTGGCGTAAGAAGAAAACCTTCTTCTGACTTCTAAAGCAGCATTGTTTTAAACTGACACGTTATCTCCCCGAGCAGCTTAAGTTGTGAAACCTGCAAAATCCAGAAAGGAGTCCATATTGGAAAAAAACACATCTGTTTCTTATGTGGCTGCCAGATAGACACCTGAAATAGACATTACCAGAAATCAAACACAAACGTGCTGCGCAGCTAAATTAAGGCATTTTCATCTCTTAACATGTCCAACCTCAATCCTGGGCTCAGCACTAACGACACATTGTGCAACAATAAAGCACAGTCTGGAGTGCTATCAAACCTGTCTGGGGAGGAATTTTCTTTTTCAAGCATGTTTATTTTCTCTTTTGAAGTCCTGTTGTGGCACTCATTACTTATTGAGTTAAAAGCTTTAGAATAAAAATCATAAAAATAAAAAAAACTTTCTGTTTTGGCCTCTTGTCCAACTCTCCCCTCGCCTGCAGTCTATCAGAGCACACCGGCAGTTAGTGAATTTATTTTCTCATAATTAGTTTGGTAACAGCATATGCTCACCAGACAAACTCTCCCCTCTGCATGTGTATTCGTGTTTGGAGATGTTTAGATAGCAGAGATGTGGCAGAGATAACTGGTAAAACCTGATATTCCCCAATAGCTTTGCCCTAAAAACCACAGCACCCAGCGCTCTCAGTGCTGCGCCTGCCTCTCACTCAGTGTATCTTGATTTATGTAATTGTAGACTGAGACATCTGTCAAAGGCATTGCATTTTAGAGGAGCAAGAGCCTATCTCTGAAAATGTCATTATGCTCAGCCTGTCTGAATCTGGCCATGCCAAGAAAACATTCGGACTTTGTACCAAGGTATTTTGAGAGCAGCAGAAACCGCAGAAGGAGTTTGGTTGTGTAAACGCCGTGTTGTGACTTGTGGACCTGGCGGAGGGCTGGGCCCCAGCGCTAGCTGTTCAGAAATAGTCGCGCGCGAGTTGTGTTGCTCTGTGGGTTTTTTGCTTGCGGGGGCCTCGCGGCGAGCAGCTGAGCTGAACACAGGCCGAGCTGAGCCGAGTGGAGTCTGCACATCCTGAACCTCTGGCAGGGCGCAAGCACGCAGCAAATGAGGCCGCATTTATGGTCTTGATTGGGGTCGCGCTGGTTCCTGACCTTTTTAGATTCAGCCAGGGAGGGAAAAAAAGTGAGCTGGAGAAATGGACGGAGTTAAAATAACACAATTCTCTGATTTTGTGACCTCCTAGCTTCCCTCCATTTATAGCCCTCTCCTGAGAGAAGCTCCCTCAGTTGAGTACACAAAACATATCCAGAAATACGCATGTCTGCCGTGGCACTTTGTAACTACTTAAACTGCACTCTGTGAACTTTGCTGCAAAATGTAATGATACACCAAATTCTCCAGTGAAGGACTGTTTTGTGCTGTCTCACACATGGCAATATCTCAGCATTTGCTCAATATCTTGAATTGCATTTTGGAAAACCTGTTTCAGCCATCAGTACTGCCATGAGGAGGCTACCCATCTGCACTAAAAGGAGTCCCACAATCTAGACAAAACTTCATCTTTTAGGGTCGTAGAAATTAGGGAGATTGACCTTCAAGCGGAGAACACTGGTTCAAGCCCTCATGACTGCAAGCACCTGCCCTGCTGAAGTGTCCTTGAGCAGGACACTGAATCCCCGCCAGCTCCAGTAACTCCCCCCTGACCTCTGACCTCCCTGCATGGGAGGCAGGAAACTAAAAGAGAATTCCCTACGGGGACCAGTAAAGTGTCACATTATCCTGCTCCCCTCTCCGAGTCTCCACTACAGTCTGCCGCTTGTCTGCCCCCACAGAAGCCGCCGCCGCTGCTGGGGCCACCGGGGTAGCTGCTTGGGGAGCCGCTGGAGGGCCAACTGCTGCTTGCCAGAAGACCAAGGAGCACGATGTGGTGCAGCGGCAGCGAGTGGTGGACCTCTGGAAGGACGGCAAATCAGAGGGGGCCATCGGGCAGGAGCTGAGGATGCCCAAGTCCACGGTACACAGCATCATTGTCAAGTACCGACTCAGCAACACAGTGGAGAACCTGCCGCGCAACGGGCGACCAAAGAAACCCTGA